TCCTCCTTGCAGCCGGGAGGATATGGGGCAGGGGATGGCAAGGCGGCCAGGCCATTACTCAGGCCCAGTTCATCTTCCTGCCCCCAGCCGAGCCAGAGGTTATGCAGCGGCCAGCCATTGGTTCCTTCCTGACCCCGGCAGGGGGGCAGTTTACCCAGCCTGTTTACCTGTCCCATTGCCAAGACTCCCAGGCGGCCACAATGGGCTGCCTCCAGCCAGTCTCTAGTCCCACCTCTGGCTCCCTGTCCCACTCCATCCTACATGGGGCCTGGGCACTCCCATTGACGGCAGCCGTGTGAAGAAGCATTTCCTTGAATTCTCTCCCTGTCCTGACCTTCTGCTCTGGCCTCCCTTCCCCTGCCCCACCTCCTTCCTTCAGTTCCTCCGTCCAGACAGGCCTGATGGTCAGCAGACCAGGCAACTGCCTACAGGGGTAATCGGGGTGGGAGAAAGGGCTTATCCTTGCCTAAGCACAACTGGAACTCAGGTATCGTGACTCCTGATACCATGCTCTTTCCACTCCACTGGGCTTTCATCTCCTAGCAGTCATTTCTACCGTAGTAAGAATGAGTTCTATCAGTTCTTCTCCTGAGAGGAAGAAGGGAAAGAATGCATGGGTTGTTCTAGGCAGCTGAGAGGGGAGAGGGCACTGCTGGGGACATGGACCATGAGACAAAGAAACAGGCTGTTCTGCAGAGCCTCGTCCAAGAGCTCTGGAATTTCTATTGGTGTCCGTCCCTCCAAAGTCTGGGTCTAGAAGGCAAAATGGTTAGGAAATGAGACTCAGCAGCCAGACTTAGAGTTTTGCATCCCAGCTCTGCTACTTGCAAGTTGTATGGCCTTGGACAGGTCTCTCTGAGCTCCCCTTTAATTTGCAAACTGGGGAGAATAGTAGTGCTGACCTCTCAGAGTTTGGGGGAAGAACTGAGGGGGCTGATGCGTGTAAAGTGCACAGCGCGGCCCCTGCCCGATTGCAGCATCCAATGTAGTCCTCACTCTGCCAGCTGAACTTGGGGCTTCTTGTCTTCCTGCCTGCTTAGGGAGTTAGCCCTGTTGGACCCAGGTCTCCTGAGCCCGGGCAGCTCTTCCTTGTGTCTGCCCTCACCTCTTCCTCTCTTGAACGCCTGTCTTCGGAGCTCCTGATCCATTGTCCAGAGCAGATCTTTCAAGGGCCAGCACCCCGCCCTGAAAAGAGGGGGCATTCTGGCTTACACAGGCACAGGCCCCAGCCGTGCAGAGGGGGGACTCGGTCGAGGTACCGGCATCAGGGAGCACCATCTTGGTCCTGGCTGGCTGGGGCATGGCCAGGGGCACCAATTCCTGAGTCTGGGGGATGTTGGACAGAACCACCTCCCCTGGTGCCCTCAAGTGTGGGACTGTGGGTTGCCTGTGGCTGGCCCAGCCCCCCTTCTCTCAGCTTTGTTTGTGAGGGTGGCAGAAATCGGCTGAATTGCTGGCAGGGTCTTGCCCAAGCCTCCTGCCGGATTCCTTTTCCGTGGAGTCACTGCGGGCTGGGGGTGGGGGCCCAGGAGCTCCCTCGGAGGCAGGGCTCTCTCACCCCTTGGCCTTTTCCCCTGCCCTCTTCTTGTCTCAGAACAGCAGTGGGAGGTTGGGGGGGGGTCCAAGCCCAGCTGGGGGTCAGCAGACAGAGTCCTGGCCCAGAGGCCTACTCTGCCACTCTTTCCCTCTCGCAGCCTCCCAGGCTCATTTAGCCCCCGAGAGCCCTTCATGCTCTGACATTTTGAGCATTTTCAAAACCCATGGCCTTTAGAACCAGTCTGGGGATAGGATGGAAGCAGAGAAGCAAGGAGAAAAACAGGCAAGTGCAGGGAATTGGAAGGTCTGGATTATTCAACCCTTGAGGGACCTTCTGAGAGCCTTACACTGTGGGAATGTGTTTCCCAGAAAGCCTGTTGCTCTCCGGAGTCGTGCAGAGCCAGCGGGGAGCCAGCCCCACTACTTTCTGGCTCTGTGACCTTGGGCAACTCACTGTACCTCTCCGAGCCTTGGTTTTCTCATCACTACAAAGTGGATAATAGTTCATGTTCCGTAGAGTTGTTGTGGGAATTAAATAAGACAATATGTTTAATCAATGTTAGCAATTGTGTCATAAGAAACCCTGGTGGGACGACGGACGTGTATCCTGACCACGCCCCAGGGGGATGTGATTTGTGTCTGTGAATCTCTGCAGGGCTCTCAGGTTGGAAAGAAAAAGCTTTTTATCTATGTGTCAATATACGTGGCAGTAGAGGTTGGGAGTTAATGTAAGGAGTAACTTTATAGCAAAGGAGCGTTCATTAGTGAAAGGCAGCTCTTTAGGGCCGTGAGCTCCCTGTCAGTGGGGTGTGTAAACAGAGGCTTGTAACTCAGGGGCGTGGTCTTAGGGACACGGGAATTATGGGGGCAGTCGGACCCAGTGGCAGCCATCCCCGAGACTCTGAGGCTGTGTGGTTGGGGGCAGTAATCCCTGCCTCTCCACGATGCTGGAATCCCCTGCAGGTGTGACCTTAAGAGAGTCACATTCCCCCTCAGGATCCTGATCTTGGGAGTGAATCTCCCTTGCCAGAAGAGGCTCTGACCCCTTCCAGGGACGAGAGTAGGGTCACCACTGAGCAGCTCCTCCCCGGGGAGCATGAGCCCTCTGCGCTGTCCCCTGGGCTTCATGACAATGCATGACCTCATCGCAGCCTCTCAACCCTAATGGCAGTGCGTTTATCACTTCTCCTCAGTTAAGGAAACTGGCTTCGAGAGGTGTGCTGACTTGCCAAGGTCACACAAGCAGCAAACAGCAGAGCCCAGATTCGGGCCAGGAGTCCTGGTTTCTAAGCAGAGCAGAGGAGGCAAGCATTGCATGAGCCCGGCAAACCTCTCAGGTCCCTCCTGTGTGGCCGGTTCGCCCCTACCTGAGACCCCACCCCTGGGCAGCAGCCTGGCCAAACCCACAAATCCTTCATCTTTTACAGAGGGGGGGGATCCAGGCAGGAGAGGAGCCCTACCAGGAGGGAACAAGTGTCGGGGTGCACGGGGCAGGCTCTTCTGGACAGGTGGGCATAGGTGTATGGGGGTGCGAAGCCAGATCTTGATGGGAGGATGGGAGGAGGAGGTGGGGACCAGAGAGCTTCTGCTATGTGTGGGCCTCCCTGCTGACCCTAGTGTGACTCTCTGGGCCTCAGTTTCCTCATCTATACAATGGGGGTGGTGTTCAAATGGCTCCTTTGTAAGGGCCCTTCCAGCTCTGGGAGTCCATGAATTCTGAGCCTCGCTGGCAGGATGCCTGGAAAGACTGTCCCTGGAGACCCATTCAGCATGTCATGGCCAGTGCTAATGAGGGCATGGTAGGAGGGAGGGCAGGGTCAGATTCCTCAAGAACTAATTAGCTTCCCACAGTAGAGAGGGGCGGGGGGAGGATGACAGGGAAGAATTTTCCCAGCCACTGACTGAGCTGTTAGCCGTGGACACAGGCTATCTCATCCATCTGTCCACTGGTCCTTTCGTTCATTCGTTGTTCAATAAGCATAAATTGAGCACCAACGGTGTACCAGCTGGGCACCGGGGATATAGAGAGAAGTGGTTGCCTACAGTGAACTTACAGATTAACAGGGGTCTGACACCAGCCTGATCACCGACCTCAGGCCCCAGACTCCACAGCCCTCGACTGAACCCGCCCCCCACCACTGATTCTGTCTTCTGTACATCCCAAAGGGACCTTTTGGGACAAATGGGCAACTTGAGCTTGGGTTGTGAACCCAGAGAGAACTGGTTTTGACCCCGGCCTTGCCGCTGTTTGTTGTGTGACTGTCGATGAGTTACTTAAAAGCCTCTGGACCTCATTTTCCACTTCTGTAAAACAGAGACGGGCAATGTTTGTCTCCCAGTGTCCTTGTGAGGACAATATCAAGTAATGCAATGTTCTAGGATAGTCGCTGCTGAATTTAGCCCAATGCCTTACTGTCATGATATTAAAATATGAGAATTTAAAAACGATTATTTAAATAAAAGTAAGAAGAAACTCTGCGAGAAGAAACTGGTCACAGTTGTTACTGATTTGTGGTAGGGGTGCTCAGGGGTGCAGGGACATTTTTTAGTAAATACTTTTTGCTTTTTTAAATTTTTGAATTTTTAGGCCATGTGAATGCATGACCTATTCTAAAAAGAGGAAGTGTTACTGTTAGTATTAGCAAATGATCACACTGTGAGTTTGAAAGTGTAAAGGGCCCCAAGACAGGCACATAGAAAATGTCCTGGGAGTTCATTCATGCCTTCAGTAATGCCTACTGGGTGCCCACTTTATGCCAAGCACTATTCTAGAGGCCAGGAACAGCAGGATGACCAGTCAAACAAGGTTATTGCCCCCTTAGAGCTTATATTCTAGGTGGGGTGATTGATGATAAACAAGGAAACGATAATTCCAAATTATGGTGAATGCCATGAAGAAAATATAACAAAGAGATGGTGGGATAGGAGGGGGGAGGACTTATTACAGAAGAAGATCCCTCCAGAGAGTCCCATATGGCAAGAAGGAACCAATATCGAATGCCAACCAGAGAAAAGAGCAAGTGTAAAGGTCCTGGGGCAGGAAAAAAACTTGGCATTTTCAAGGAATTGAAAGGATGCCAGCAGGGCAGAGCCTAGTGAGTGGAGAAGGGTGGTAGGGGATGAGTCAGGGTATAGTGGGCCTCTACTGCTAGGATGAGGTGTGCTTGCTGAGTTTGATAAAGTGCAGTATTGACAACCTTCAGGGGGAAGCCAAATGAGGGGCCAGTTTATCCTGAAAGGGTAATCAGGGGAGGTTTTACACAGGTGGTGGCATTTGAGTTGGGCCATGATTGTTGGGTCAGGGATCTTTATGAGGAGAGGGAATTCCAGGAAACAGTGAGTAAAGATCAAATTCCAGAGGAAAAGATCATCGGTAGGAGGGACACGGTGGCCATCTGTCTGTCTCTGTACCCGTGTGGCTCAGCATTCCCATTTGCTAACTGGACCTCTGTCCCTCCCTACAGCCTTGGGCCCGAGCACTAGCCTCACTGAGAGAGATCTGAAAGAGGCGAAGGCCCGGAGTCAGCAGATCGCAGCCCAGCTGACCACCCCTCCCAGCTCCAGCTCCCGCGGCGTCCAGCTCTTCAACAGGCGGCGGCAGAGGGTGAACGAGTTCACCTTGGAGAACCACGGCCGGAGGGGACAGAAGCCCAGCCAGGAGTCCCTCCGAGTGCCCCCTGCCAGCCCCACAGGCTATGCCTCAGGGCTCAGCTTGAGTCCCACCTCACTCCCTGAACCAGGCCCTCCGAGGAACGCCGACAGCCAGAGCCCTGACGTAGGGGTCCCTGCTCACAGCATGGAGGGATGCTCGGAGAAGGCCAACTTGCTGCGGCACCTGGAGAAGGTGGCCAGCGAGGAGGAGGAGGTACCCCTGGTGGTTTATTTGAAGGAGAACGCAGCCCTGCTGACGGCCAACGGACTGCACCTGTCCCAGAACCGAGAAGCCCAGCAGAGCCCAGCAAGCCCGCCGACGGCTGAGGTCCACAGCCCGGCTGCAGATGTCAACAAAAACGTTTCCTCACTCAGTGCCACCCTCATCGTGCCAGCCTCTAACAGCACCCACAGCCTGCCGGCCACAGACAACAACCAGAACCCCCCGGCACCTGTCACCCCACAGAGCCTGCCGCTTCCAAACAGCGAGCAGCCCTCGGAGGCACAGCTCCCTCCCAATGGCACGGTGTCAGATCCCAAACCCGGCACCCTGTGTTCCGGCGGGCAGCCCCCGGAGCCGGCTGCGGAGGTGAGATGCAGCACGCTCCTAATTGATAAGGTGTCAGCTCCACCGACCACCACCAGCACCTTCTCCAAAGAAACGACTCCCCTCTCCAGCTCCGGGACCCCAGCCCCAGATTTCATGTCTAGCTCCCTGCTCATCGATATACAGCCCAGTGCCCCAGCGGTGTCAGCAGAACAAGAGACGTCTGGGTGGGCGGCCACGCCCACGCCCGCCAAGCTATACAGTGAGGTCCACTTCACACTGGCCAAGCCCCCATCAGTGGTCAACAGGACCGCCAGACCCTTCGGGATCCAGGCGCCAGGGAGCACCAGCCAGATGGAGCGGAGCCCCATGGTAGAGAGACGACATCTCGGGGAGAAGGCCCTGGCTCCCCAGCCCTCCAGCATGGCAGACAGGAGCCCTCGGCCACAGAGACACGTGATGTCCCATAGCCCCATGGTGGAAAGGAGGTCTGTGGCACAGCGAAGCCCTGCCTTGGAGAGACGCCCCTTGGGGAACTTCACCCCACCCCCCACCTATGCCGAGACCTTGTCCACGGCCCCCCTGGCTTCCCGGGTTAGGTCTCCCCCGTCCTACTCTGCCCTTTACCCCAGCTCTGACCCCAAGCCTTCTCCTCTGAAGGGCCAGGCAGTTCCTGCCAGCAAGACGGGCATTTTGGAGGAGTCGATGGCCCGCAGGGGCAGCCGGAAATCCATGTTCACCTTCGTGGAGAAGCCCAAGGTGACCCCAAATCCAGACCTGCTGGATCTGGTACAGACGGCCGATGAGAAGCGGAGGCAGAGGGACCAGGGGGAGGCAGGCGTGGAGGACGAGCCCTTCGCGCTGGGGGCCGAGGCCTCCAACTTTCAGCAGGAGTCAGCACCCCGGGACAGGGCCGGCCCTGCGGCGGCCGAGGAGATCCTCCCGGAGTGGGCCTCGTGCCTCAAGTCACCGCGCATCCAGGCCAAGCCCAAGCCCAAGCCCAACCAGAACCTGTCCGAGGCCTCCGGGAAGGGGGCTGAGCTCTACGCCCGCCGCCAGTCCCGGATGGAGAAGTATGTCATCGAGTCCTCGGGCCACGCCGAACTGGCCCGCTGCCCTTCGCCCACCATGTCCCTGCCTTCATCCTGGAAATATTCCACCAATGCTCCTGGCGCCTTCCGAGTGGCATCCCGGAGCCCAGCTCGGACCCCGCCCGCCTCCCTCTACCACGGCTACCTGCCTGAGAACGGGGTCCTGCGCCCTGAGCCCACCAAGCAGCCGGCCTACCAGCTGCGGCCCTCGCTCTTCGTCCTCTCGCCCATCAAGGAGCCTGTCAAGCCCTCACCGAGAGCCGCCTCTCCTGCCAAGCCGAGCTCCCTGGACCTGGTGCCCAGCCTCCCCAAGGGGGCCCTCCCGGCATCCCCGGCCCTGCCTCGGCCCTCCCGCTCCTCACCGGGCCTCTACAGCTCCCCCGGCCAGGACGGCCTCCAGCCCACAGCCGTGAGCCCGACCTACAGCAGTGATATCTCCCCCGTGTCGCCCTCCAGGGCGTGGTCTCCCCGCGCCAGGCAGGCCCCCAGGCCCTCCTTCTCCACCCGGAATGCTGGGATCGAGGCTCAGGTGTGGAAGCCTTCCTTCTGCTTCAAGTAGAGGACCCCGCAGGGATCCCACTGCCTGGCAGGACCCCCTCTCTGAGGGCTGGATGGACAGCAGATGTGGCTGGAAATGGCACCGAGCTGAGGAGGGTCAGGAGTATGGGGCCTCGGGGCTCAAAGGGTGATGCTGCCACCAGCTAGCTTTGTGACTCTGGCCAAGTCACCTCCGCTCTCTGGGCTGTGGCTGCGCAAGGGTCATTAGACTCCATGTCTGAGGGATCTGCCGTCCCATACCGGGCCGGGGGGAGGGTCACGAAGCGAGAACTCCCTCAGCAGGCCGAAGTGAGGCTGGGGGGCTTCCTCGGGCCTTTGTGAGCTGTAGGGATGCCAGCGTCTTGCTGGGGAATGGCCTAGAAGGGGACCCCAACATGGGCTTCTGGAACAAAGAGAGCCGGCCAGTGCCTCCGTGTAGCCAGCCAGCCAAGGGTCCGCCTTCTCAGCCGCCCCAGCTCCTGGCATCCTTCCGCCTGTCGCTGGCTTCTTACCTGCACTGGTCTGTCTCCTCCACCTCTGCCTTCTGGACACCGTTTCCTCTCCGCTGCTTCAGAGAGCTTCGCCTCGGCCGCCACGTTTTCTCCTCTCGCGGGTTCTTCCGCTGGATGAGGACTCAGCCCGCCACGGCTGTCTGACGCTTTCCTTCCTGCCCCTCTGCTGCCCTGCCTCCCTGTCCTCTCCAAACACCTGGCTGCACTTTGGGGACCAGACCTCGGTCCCGGTTCCACCTGGCTGGCCCTCCATGTGCTGGGGCGTGCGAGGTCCCAGGGAGTCCCCGAGAGGAGGGGGGCCCCGTAGAAGGAGGTGCAGGTGCGGGCGTGCAGTGAGAGAGGCCCCGGCAGTGTATCCATCGGCTAGCTTGGCTTCAGCCTCAGCCGAGATCTGCCCCGTGAAAGCAGCTCTCTCTGTGCAATGGAGGGGGCCACGGGGAGAGAGGCCGGAGAGGGGTGTGTGGCCCCATCCCAGCCTCCCCTTTGCTGGGTGAGTCTGGCCAAGTCACTTTCCCTTTCTGGGCCTCGGTTTTCTTATCTAAACAGTCAGTGCCCTTCTAGCTGTGACCGTCTGTGAGGATTGAGGGGATAGGGCTGGAGCTTCGGGAGAAAGGCCTTGGAAGTGATAAGACAGTCCCCTGGGGGGAAAAAGGGGGAGGCAACAGGCTGTTGCCATAGAACTGTTGGAGATGAGAGGTCTGTGAGGGTGTCCCTGGGAGGGTGTGGCTGGAACGAGCTGCTGCAGGAGGCCAGAGGCTCAGGAGCCCAGGCTGGGAGGCTGCAGGCCGGGAGGGCCTGGAGACCGTAGACCATAGGAAGCCAGGGCAGGAGCACAGCAGCTTGGTGGGACAGAGGAGGAGACCTTTAGGTTTGGAGCAAGAGCCTGGGATTTAAGAGATCTGGATTCCAACAGATTAATTCCATGTGTATCCTTGGTTCTCAGTTTCCCCATACAGTGAGGGTGTTGAGTCAGGTGGTGTGAGATCCTCACCACCTCTGACATGTGTGATGTGATGCAGCCCCCAAACCAGGCTTGGGGGGGGGGGAGTGTGAGAGGATACAGACGCAAGAGGCAGAATTCAGATGGAAGCTTCCCAAGGCTGGGGGCCGAGCACCACCCACTTTCTCTTCCCCAGCCCTATTTCTGGGCTCCCCAGCGGGGCGAGGGGTGGTGGAGGCGGTGCCCATGCTGGGCTGAGCCTGCAGTTTTCGTGAGCTCTGGGCTCGTCTCCATGGGAACGGGGGGTGCCTTCCTAGTGAGTTCATTCTGCCCGGAACTTGGGGGCATGCGTGGGGGAGTCGTAAGTGAGCTCAGCTTCTTCATGCCAGGCCCCTCCCAGGACAGAGTGAGGCCCCTGCCCCAGACCTCTGATCCCTTCGACCCCTGAGGGCCAGCAACAGAAGAGCCCACCCTCCATCCTGCAGCTCCTGTGGCCAGGCTGGCCGAACTCGTCCTCCAACTTTGTTTTCTCTCCTGTTCTCAATACACTCAGCCTCAAATCTGTCTTGCTTTTTTCTTTCTTCCTCGCTCCCTGGTTGGTGGTCCAGGCTCTCCCCCGCCTTCCTTGCTGATTCTGGCCTGGGAAGTGGGGGAGGACAACTCCGTTACTGTGTGTGAACGTGTGGCGTGTCCCTGCGTGCTGTTTGCGACCTCTGTGCGTCTGGATCTGCCGTGGGTACAGGGATGTGGTGGCCTGGAAGTGAGGGCTGCCCTCGCTCTTCCCTGGGTCAGCACGTAGGAAACCATCCATAATCCTGCGTAAATCCTTCTTCTGTTTTCTCCTTCTTCCAGATTTTGGCCAAAAAGGCTAGAGAGCATGGGGAAAACCCACAGCCCCTTACAGTCCGGGTTTGTTTGAATTCTTTAAAAGTGGAATGTAAATGCCTCTTCAGCCAGAGCATATACTTTCTGGTTCCCTCAGGCCCCCCTCCCCCTCTCCCTGTTATCTTCATCCGGCAATTTCCCATATTCGTCACCTCCGGGCTCCTGAAAAGAGTTTCTGCCCCTGGTGGAGAGGAACAAACTGCCATCAAGTGTCACAAGTGGGTTGTAGTCCCAGATCTGCACCTGACTCCTTGTGTGACCTTAGACAACCCCTTCTCACCTCTGGGCCTCAGTTTCTCTTCCCTACAAGGGAAGGGTTGCAGAAGGCCATCTGGGAGCTAGCTCCGTTTGGTCTTTGACAGTTCCTGTCTGACTGTTCTGCCCAAGCCTTCACCCCACGCACGTGCCCTGCAATGGGGCTGGTGCTGGGGTAAGTGGGTGCTGCTTTCTGAATTTTCACCCATGTGCATTGCCAGGGAGTTCTGGCTTATATAAGACATTAAGAGCTTTGTCAGAAAGTGAACAGTCCTGATTTCTCACAGCTTTTTTGTACTGTGCACCCCACCTCCCTCACTGCACACAGAGTCAGTACCCAGACATGGCAGTTCCGATGAGGTCACGCTCTGGCCCACCTCCAAATGATGAGGAACTGCTTACCACTGCCTAACATTCCACCCCAGGCTTGGGAACTGGCTGGCCCTAGCCTTCCCCTCGTGGCCACCAAGGGCAGAGATAACCCTTAGAGATTTCAGACAGGTATCATAACGCTTCCTGCCCCAGCCTGCCATTTTCCTGGCTGCAGAGCCCGGGTCCTTGTGTGCCCATGCTTGTTGATGGGCTGGGATCATGAACTCTTGCCCCCATTTCCCACAGCTGGGCTGACTGAAAGCTTCCTGGGATGTGTCACAGAGTAGCTCCCAGGGTCTCTGGCTCACATAGACACAGTTCTGATCCTGGAGTGAAAGGGGTGGATCCTATGCTGAGCTTTAACTTTTCAAATGGATGATTGGGGTCTTGGATGTCCCCAGGAGGCCCCTAGGGGTCCCTCCAGCATTACCATCCCATGAAAAATCTCCTATCCGGACTGCTGTTTAAGGGACCCCATTCTGAGTCAGCTCATCTAGTAGCTAGCTGCCTTGTAGGGAGAAAGCATAACACTTTGCTACTTCCTTTTGATTGGGAGAAATCAGATTCTCATTGGATGAGAGGCAGACTGGCTTGACTGTGGCTGATTACTGATTGGATGAAAGAACGGATCTCATGAATGGTTCTAGATGTTGATTAGGTAGAAGACGCTGAATGGACTGGCTAGTTCTGGACTCTGAGGAATGACTGCTGGTGAATCTGTATTGAATTGAAGGCTGAGTGGACTGGTTTACTGCTGGGATCTGATTGGATGAAGAGTTGGGCGGTTTAGCAGATACAGGCTGGCCATGATTCCCAAGCCCTGCACTTTCAAACCAGTTCTCCACACTGCTTTAGCATGGTGTAGCCCTTGAGCAGGAGGTAGTCACACACACACACACACACACACACACACACACACACACACACACACATCCTGGTGGGGTAGAACACACCAGATAGTTATTTACACCTCTGAACTTCATGTTCATCCTTGTAAAATGGGTGTGATAATGCCAGCTACCTCATCAGTGTGTTGTGAGGATCTAATGAGACATAAAGGATGACACGGAAATTTGTGGACTGGAAAATCCCTAAATAGGTAGGAAACAGGTACAGTAGTGTAGAGCAGAGCAGTGCTTTATCACCTCGACGACGTTCACCAACTTGGCTTGACCGAAGCCACACTCCCTACCCCCTGCTGGCGAGAGGTCCAGTCCGGAGAGTGTGCTGCCTAAGGCACAAGGACCCAACTTCCTTCTGTGTGCCCACCTGTCAGTGGGAACTTCCTCTCTGCTCAGGGTATGCAAGCAAAAATTAGGAGGTGACCGTGGCAACATGGCAAGGGGGTTGGGGCTAAGAGGGCCTTTCCCGAAGTGCTTCGTAATAATGATCAATATTATCGTTTTACATTTTTATTTATTTATTTTTAAAGATTTTATTTATTGAGAGAGAGAGAGGGAGCACAAGCAGGGGGAGCAGCAGAGGGAGAAAGAGAAGCAGGTTCCCTGCTGAGCAGGGAGCCCCACACTGGGCTGGATCCCAGGACCCCAGGATCATGACCTGAGCCGAAGGCAGACGCCAACCCGACTGAGCCACCCAGGGACCCCTCGTTTAAAATTTTTAAAATAGATAATACGTCCATATCTTTCAAAAACCTAAACTAATATAAAAACTAATACATGAAAGCTTCATTCCCACTCCTGTGGCTGCATACCTTGCCCTGTTGGCCCCATTTCCTAACAGCGACCCACTTCGGCTAGTTTCATGTGTATCCTTCCAGTATTTCTTTATGGTAACTAACATCTACTGAGCACCCACTCTCCTCCAGGGAATCTTTCAATCCACGTAATGTTCTTCTACATGAGTCATCTCATTTAATCCTCACAACAGCCCCCAAAGAGTAGGTGCTGCTATTACACCCCCATTTCACAGAGGAGGAAACTGAAGCCCAGAGGCTTCCGTTGCTGCAACAACTTGCCCAAGTTCGTTCAGTAAGCAGCCGGCTCTCCCCGAAGCGAGCGTTCTTAACCACTAGTCACCTGCCTCCCTGTTAAGCTCAGGAGCAGGCAGCTCGGGCTGATCCGAGGATGGGGGCTGAGAGCTGGGGCGCCCTGCGTTTTACCGCAGGCAATACTTCGCTGAGTCGGGTGGACAAAGCAGACCAGTCCCTCCCGGAGCCCCGGGCTGGAGGACCCCAGCACTAACGCCTGCCCCGCCCTCTGTGCTCTCTCCCCAGGACCGCCGGGAGAGCCTGCCCACCTCCCCGCCCTGGACGCCGGGCGCCTCCCGGCCCCCCAGCAGCCTGGACGGCTGGGTGAGCCCGGGGCCGTGGGAGCCGGGCCGGGGGAGCAGCATGAGCAGCCCCCCGCCGCTCCCGCCGCCGCCGCCCATGTCTCCCTCGTGGAGCGAGCGCTCCGTATCCCCGCTGCGACCCGAGGCCGAGGCGCGGCCTCCCAGCCGTCAGCTGCAGGCCCTCCTGGCGCGAAACATCATCAACGCCGCCCGGCGCAAGAGCGCCTCCCCGCGGCCGGCGGGCGCCGAGAGCCTGCGGCCCTTCTCCCCGCCCGGGCCGCCGCCGCCGCCGCCGCCGCCGCCGCGCCTGCGCTCGCCGCAGCCCTCCCGGCCCGGCCCCGCCGCCGCCGCCGCCGCCGCCCCCGGGGCCACGTTCGCCCCGATCCCGCGGAGCCCGCTGCCCGCCGGCCCCTCGCCCTGCGCCAGCCCCCGGAGCCCGCTGCCCGCGACGCCCAGGCCCTTCGCCTACCGCCGGTCGCCCACGGACTCCGACGTGTCCCTCGACTCCGAGGACTCCGGGGCTAAGTCGCCCGGCATCCTCGGCTACAACATCTGTCCCCGCGGGTGGAACGGCAGCCTGAGGCTCAAGCGTGGCAGCCTCCCCGCCGAGGCCTCCTGCACCACCTAAAGCCTCGCCCGCTCCCGCTCCGTCCCCACCCCGGGAGGGCTGAGCCAGAAGAAGAGTTGTGGGGCTTGGTAGATCCCAGCACCACGTCCGGGGGGTGGAGGGGTGGGGGTGGGGGGCGGTGAGGTCTGGCCGCTTTGGACAAGGGGTAAGGGGAGGCGTGCTCTGGGCTTGGGGCTGGGGTAGTGATCCAAGCTTGGGTTCTAGCCCTTATTCTTTCATTCAGTCATTGTGTGGCCCTGGGCAAGACCCTTCCTCTGTCCGACCCTCAGCCTTCCCATCCGTTTAATAAGACTTGGAGCAAGGCCATCTTCACAGGTCTAAATTTCCCCTCCCCTCCCCATCAATACACACACGCACACACGCACCCACACACACCTGCCCTGAAAGAGTCAGGGTATTGTGTGTATGGACCCCTAGACTCGCTCTGGTTCAGGGTTCCACAGTCCTCCCTCCCTTCCTGGCTCTGCTCTCTGGAGTCTGGCAAATGAGGGGTGTGTTCACAAGATCCTAGGCCTCAGTCCCCTGCCTGGGCCCTGGCTTGACCGCCTGCCTCCCTGGCACCAAGTCCCAGGCAGGAGCAGCTGCTTGCCACCCCTTCCCAGACAAGCTCTATTTTTACCATGGTGACCTTTAGAGAGGTCTCCCAGGCCAGCTCAAGGTGCCCTGCTGGCCCCTCGGGAGACAAGAGGTGGAAAGATTCCTCCTCCCAGGTCCCTCTCACGCTTTTCCAGCTCTGGCTTAGGGTGTCAGGGCCGCTTATCTGCCACCAGAGGGGAAAGCTGGAAGGTGATGACTTATGGCCCCGGCCCCAGGACTTGGGCCTCCAGGAATACTGTAGGTGCCTCCAACCCATCTATCTCTTCTCAGCCCTTTCATGGCAGGTTCCAGGCTCAACGCTGAGCTGGGGGGAGAAGAGTTGATATGGAGCTATCTGCTCGCCTGTGACTTTACCTAATGGTCCTGAGTTTGAGGTTGGCCACTTGGAAAAGGGGAGGCAAGAGTTCCTTGTTATGGGAGGTATTCAAGCAGTAGCCAGGATGCATAGAGGAGATTCTAGTAGGAAGTGGATTGGCTCAGATGACCTCTGAGGGCTCTTCCAGTCCTGAAATGCATTGCATGGGGTTAGGAAGGGAGGCAGTTGGTGGTGGAGGACTGATTGGGCAGAATTTGGGGGCAGATGAGCATGGGTGGGTGAGGGAGGGGTTAGACTAGTCCGCCTGTGTTTCTGGCTCCTTGGGAAATACCCCATGCTTCAGTTTTAGGCCTCAGTATCCATATCATGCCCAGATGAGTGGGCACTGTTCTGCCCCATCTCTTTCCTGTTACACTCTGGCCTAGCTAGTGCCTGGTGCCCAGTGACCTTGAGGAGCCTGGCTGCAGACTCTGGCCTGTCCCTTAGACCTGGGTGGTTCTCATTCCAATCCCCAGGAGGGACATGGGAAGAATGCGGCTAAATTCTATAGCTTCCAAAGTTGGCTGGTGGTGCCCTCTAGAGGTTCAGAATACCAGCTTCAGGATACTAAGCACAGAGGAGGGTGGGGATGGGGCACTGGACTTGACTGAGGATCAAAGAGATGTAGGATAAAAGATTAAGAGAAAGGATACCAGGATGTTGCTAACGGTGAGGGACTGAGTGTGATTTGGGGTTAGGGGTAGACTTACCCACCCAGGTGGGTAACATCAGGTGATGTTAGACCTGAAACCCCCACAGAAGGCTAGGGAAAGCTGGGGTCGGGGTGGGAGAGAGTCAGATGGGGGTCTTTGAAATTAAGGAGTGATCCCAGAGGGTGCCTAGGGCCAAAGGATTGGGAACACAGGCCCTGACAGAGGGAAGATAAGGGAGTATTCCTGCTTGGTCGATGATGGTTGATGATGAAGTCCCCATCTGCTTCAGGGTTCCTTTGTAGCACGGGAGACTGGGGCTAAGGGCCCCTTTCACAGAAGAGACGCTCTCAGGCCACTGGTTGATGCAGTGCCATAGAAAATCCACTTCTGCTTGCATTTCCCCAAAGAGCCAGCAGAAGGCAGCCCTGGAAAGCTGCGTTTCTGCCTGGCTGTTCCTGTCACTGTCTTCTCCCCCCATCCTCCCCTCTAGCCCACTAGAGACTGCCTGTGTTCTGCCTCTTGCCTCCTGCAGAATTCATCTCTGGCCCTCAATAAATGCTTCCTGCATACTTCTGCCTCCTGTGTCATTTTCAAAAGCTTCGTCTAAAGCCCCTCCCTTCTCCCCATGGAACAGTCCGAGGGATTCTGCGGGGACGAGAATGTTTGACACAGGTGGGATGGGAGCTTGGGGCGTAGCAACCATGGAGAGAGACGGGGAACAATGGGACAACTCCAGGCCATAGATGAGGTCCCAGGGTTGAGGTCCTGATCCTGTCTCCTACCAGCTGGGTGACCCTGAGTAAGCTCCCTGCTTAGCCAGCCTCAGCTTCCCTATCTGTGCAGAGTGAGCTGGGCGAGGTGGTATTGCCCCTCACCACAGGCCACTATCACTGGGGCAGGTAGGGCCAAGCTGGGTCAGGGCCCAGGGCTGTGGGGCGGGTTCCTCATGGCAGGTTGGGGCTCCATGCAGCAGGAGAAGCCCCTATAAGGGTCCCATCTGAGTCCAGGTAACCCTAGTGAGCTCGGGACCCAGGCTATCAGGAGTGCTCCTCACCTGGTGGCGGTGTCCTTTGTCCAGAGAAGGGGACTGTGGCCCCACTCCCAGGTGAGGCCAAGCCTGCCTTGGGAACACCCCTCACCTTCCTCTCTAAAAGCGCAGGCCCAGCAGAGGCTGGGGGCAGGAACCTAAGGGGCAGAACGTGGAGCTCCTGGAGTCCTCAGAGCCCCGGCTCCTTCCTAAGGGCATGTCAGAAACCCGCCCTTGGACATTCTGTCCCTGCACACGGGAACAGGTACTGCCCGCCCTGGACCCAGCGCGTCCTTGCCAGCCCACCCTTCCCTGCAAGTGACCCAGTCTTTATCTCCAGCCAGAACCCCTCCTGAGCACAACGTCCCCCTGCCTACTGGTGATTCCCATCCCTGACACCGCAAATCAAGTTCATTCCAAACTGAGCTGAGTAGCTGTGCCCGCCCCAAGCTGTTCCGCCTTTACCTTCCTCAGTCACTCAGGGCACAGTGGCCTTTCCCGAACTCCCCACATCCAATCTCAGAGCAGGACCTGGTGAGCCCCCCGCTACTGCTGCTCGGGTCCTCCTCCTCTCCATGCTCTCCATGGCCTCTACCCCTGCCCCTGTGCGGGCTCTCCATCTCTCACCTGACCCAGCAAATCTTCCTGCCTCCAGTCTGGCCCCCTCCAACTCATTTTTCACCTGGCAGCCCAGAGATATATTTGAAAAATGCCAACGTGACCCCTCCATTCTACCGCTTTAAACGCTTCAACAGTCCTTTCTAAAGCATACGTCCCTCTGGGAGAGCCTGCTGTGATCTGGCTCACCTGTCCGGCCCCATCTCTCAGCTCTGCGGGCAAGTTCTGGCTCTGCTTGCGGACCCCTGGCACTGTTAAACCCAACGTGGCCTCTGCCCGCAAGGCCTATGCCTCTCTGCCCAGTGAACTCCTACTAGCCTTCCAGGCCCAGATCAAATGTCTCCTCTGGGAAGCGCCTTCCCCGTCCCCCACCCCACCCCCAGGCAGAGCTGGTGGCACCCTCCCCTGGGTACGCCCAGAGTATTTCCCATCATGCATCGCAAAGGCTTATTTACGGGTCTGACTTGGGCCTGGCTGAGCTCCTTGAGGACAGAGCCCTGCCTTATTTATCTTCTGTCCATAGAGACTCAGACGGTGTGAGAAGGTGGAGGAAGGGAGGGAGAGAGGGAGCAGAAGGAAGAAAGGCAGGAAAGAAAAGAGGAAAGAAGAAATGAATAAGCCAAACAAGGATATCAGGGGAAAATTCACTGATTCATGCATCCATCCATTCATTCATTCAACAAATATCTATTGAATTCCTATCAGGCCCCGTTTTAGGCACTAAGGATACAATCGGCAAGCTCAAATGACTGGCAACTGACCCTCGGCATTTCCAGGTGACTTGTGTGTGTGTGTGTGTGTGTGTGTGTGTGTGTAAGCCCTTCTGTCTGCAAGGGCCTGCTGCCGGGGCACCTGTCTTCCCTGGGGCCTGGTGCTTTTAACATCTGTCCCTGGATCCTGTTGCAGCCCAAAATAAGGCTGTGAGCCACGACAAAGCAGGAAAGATTCTTGATTCTTGTCAGCTGAGGCCAGAGCTGGCTGCAAGGACGCACCCGCTCAGACTGGACCAAGGACCACTAGCACCTACACGACTACCCTGCTCTCAGCTTCCCGACAGAGGTGTTAATTTTGAGGGTCTGACACTCCCTCCTGCACACTGTGGTCCTGCCACTCAGGTACCAGGATCCTAGGGGAGCTTGAGGAGCTATGGGGTGGGGGCCGAGGAGATGAGCCAGCTGCCAGAGCCCCAGCCCCCAAGCAGAGGAAGGGCCCTGCCAAGGGTCTGGGGAGCATGGGGCCTCAAGGAAGCCAGGTGCCTGATTTGGGATGGGAGGGATTCTAAATTCTAGGTCACTCTCGGTTAAATGGGAAGGGGTGGCTGGGATTCAAGGTGGGCAGAGGTAATGGCTCTGCATAGGATTTCAAGGTCTTTAGGCTGCAGAGGGAAGCAGGGCCCCTGTCCGTAAGATGAGAGCCCTTCCCAGTGTCTGTAAAGGTCTGTAAGGGGAGTGTTTATCACGGAACAGACCCATGCACTGTGGACTCCTGAGTGGTCACAGTTGGAGCATTCTCCGTCAATTCATGGCCCTCATCCCAAATGCGAGCAGACATGCTCAGATCTGATACGGTTTGCCGGGTGGGGGACTGTGGATGCCCTGAAGCCCATCTGTGGAGCCCATGATGGGGCCCAACCTCCTTATGTAACAGAGACACATGAGAGGAACTGAGGCTCAAAGCGGGAGAGCTACTTGCTCACAGTTACAGAGGAAGTCAAGGACATGGACTAGACTCCAGGTTGCCCATCTCAGTGCCCACTGACGCGGGGCCATGTGTGGGTGTGGGCTATAGATGGAGGTGGGCTGTTTTTTCTAAAGGAAGGAGTGTCGGAAAACCTGGAAGCAAAACACAGGGGTAGTCTGTAAGGAGACTCAAGAGCTCCGCCTTCTCTCCTGGGGGCAAGTTAGGGAATCTGGATTTGGAACCTACAGGGATTCTCTGGGGCTCTGGACCTCATTTTGTTTGTAAATCTCTTCCAAGATCGCTGGAAAGTGCCGTGGGGTGCAAATGGGGAGGGGGGATAAAAGGGGAGGTAGAGAAGGGTGAAGGAGAGCACCCTGCAAGTCAGCTGGGGAATGGGGCATAGGGAAGGGGGTGATGGGTCTCTCGGCCTCCTTGGACCAGCCTGTGCCCTCAAGCCTCAGAGCCAAGTACTGGGGACAGAAGGACAGGATCAGCCTCGTAGACCCCAGTGTAGCCCCAGGCTAACAACCCATCCATATCCCCCTCTCCCTGACTTAAACCTCCTTCAGCCTCTGATTAGAGTTCATCTGCGTGAGCAGATGACGGTCGTCTGAGACCCCCACCCCCCTTACCCCCCGTGTCCCAGAGATTGCCCCCTGAAGAAAGAGTGCCTCCCTGGCAACATGGGAAGCAGATTTGTGTGGCTTCTAGCACCTCCCTTGCCTTCCCTGGACCTCAGTCTCCTCCTCAGTACAAAGAGACCCCAAAGCCCTGTCCAGCTCAGAGCCCTTCCTTGAGACTGGGGTGGGCCAAGGCAGTTCAGGGCTGAGGCTGGGTGGACCAGGGACTGGGAGGACATCTGGGGAGGGATGAAGGGGGGCTGGCTATTTGCAGGCATCTCTCTTCCACAGGATGATCCCTGAGGAGCAGAAGGGGCCAGTGATGGCTGCCATGGGGGACCTCACTGGACCAGGTAAGGTGGACTCAGCCCTTGTGCGGTCCTCAGACCCCATCCTTTCCTGGTCCCAAAGTGTAGCCACTCGGGCCTGTTGGCCTGAGGCCTGGGCAAACAGGTGTGAGTTCCAGGCCAGCCCTGAGGGAGCATTGTGGAATCTGCCACTTGGGTTGGGTCACTTCCCGAAGGATTGCGAGGGGCCTTGCCCTGATGCCCACACACCCAGAGGCTGAGACTGAATGCCTTACACTGGGCCCTGGGCCTAACTAAGTCCTTACCTCAGCCCCAGATTGAATACTGAGGGCTCTGGTCCCAGTTCCAGCCCTAACTGGCCTCAAGCTCCCTCCCACACTTGCCCTTGCTTCCTGTCACTGTGGGTCTCCCAGAGCCCCCGTGGCAGGAGACAATTGTCGGGGGGGCGTGGGGACAGGCTGGCCAGAGCAGACTCCCCAGTGTGACTCAGACCATTTCACTTAAAAGTAGGCTCACCCAATGAAGAAATCAGCTAAAATACATGTTTATCACCATATAAGACCTCCTCCAGAACTCTCGGCATAATTTTGGAGTCTGTTAATTTGGCCTACTTCAGAGCATTGCAAGTATTTTATTTTTAAAAAAGATGTTATTTATTTATTTGAGAGGGTGATAGAATGAGTGTGCACACAGAGGGAGAGGGAGAAGCAGATTCCCCACTGAGTGTGGAGCCCGAGTGGGGCTCGATCCCAGGACCTCGAGATTATGACCTGAGCTGAAGGCAGACGCTTAACTGACTGAGCCACTCAGACTTGAAATGGGGATTTCAAGTATTTAAAAAACAAATTCAACTAGGTCAGGGCTCTCATCCTATAGTGCAAATGATAGTGAGAGGTGCTGTTGGCTAAAAATGCAGATTCCCAGCTTCCACCCCCAGGATCCTAATTCAGTGGACCTGGAGAGGGGGCCGGACATGTGCCTTTGAGACAAGTGTCCCGGGGGATTCTGGAGCACAGGGACCGTGACCCGAGCTCTGACAAACCATCCCGTAAGGACACCACTGAGGTTTTGCCCCATGCAGCTTCTAAGTATTTTACCCTCTTGTATGACTTTATATGGGAGTGGTGCTAACCTATTTTGTGTGTTCTTGCCGCCTTTTGTGGATGTCAAGTTTCTTTTTTTTTTTTAATTTCATGATTTTGGGTGCTAACATACAACAACTTGGTGAGATATTGATGCTCTAACTAGAAGAACCAGGCAATGCATTCTCTTTTCCCTTGGCTAAGTAATTAATTAATTACAGTCCCCCAAATGTGGGCACATATCATTTATGCCAGACTGGAAATACATAAATTGTTGGCTGTTGCTAGGATATTAACTCAAGACAGTTTTGAAACTAAAGAAAAGTAGAAAGAAAAAAACTCTCATGGTCTTACCATGAAAAGACAGCCACTGTAATAATAATACAAACACCATTATTATGTACTTAATCGGTGTCAGATCCTGTGCTAAGAGCTTCTGTGCTTTATGTTATATAACCCTCACAACAACTCTCTAAGTTAGATATTGTTGCCCCTGTTTTGTTGACGAGAAAGCCGAGGTTCAGAGGAGCTCGGTGGTCACATAGCTAATTGTTGGTAGAGCTGAGATTGGACTCCAGATCTCTTTGTCTCCAGAGCTACTTCTTTACTACACGGTTGTACAAATAATACATCCCTTTTATAAGATATTCAGACAAAACAGACATGAATGACTTTGAAAGTGAAAGTTCCTCATAATGGGACCATCTGGAGATAACCACTATTAACATATTTGTGTAAAGTCATCTTCCGTTCATATATAAACATATTTATAAAAACCCATATATATGTGGGCTAAGTACTCTACGCTGTGTTCTTCAGCTTGCTTTTTTTTTCATTTAGCAGCCTACCACAGACTTCTTTCCATCCTGGTATGATGTATCTCTCCGCCCCTCCCCCTGCTCCCCCAGCATGTAATATATTAAGTGTATTGATACACACACACACCATATTGGTGGTCAGGAAGGTTCATCTCAGGTTGGACCGTTAGGACCAACCACAAGTGGTTGGTCACCAACACAAGTGACTGATTGAGGTCACGCCCTCAGGAAGAGGGAAATGACAGAAGCAGGATAGGGCAGGGGAAATTGCTAAGCAAGGATGTGGGCTCAGCTGTTAGCCCAGGTTCAGTCTGATCCCGTGGGAGCTCCAGAGCAGGAATGGCTCCACAGAATTCACCCTGTCTTCAGCGAGGAGGCCATGAACGCTTCTGCTCAGCAGGGCAGCCCTCTGCAGAAATGGGGCAGTTGTGACCCTGAGCCGCTGATGAAGGGCATCTGGGCAGCACCCCCACAACATGGATGCCCGGTTTTCACAATCTGAAACCTCAGTGCACTCAACATCCTTGTATGTCTGTCTTCAGGTGTGTTTATTCAACTTTTCTCCCTAAGAATGAATGCCTAGAAATAGAAAAGTTTCATCAAATAGATTTTATCTATAACTTTTTTAAAAATATTGAGCTCAATTCATCTGGTAGTATTTGATAATATGATGCCAGGGGACTTTTTATTATGTATTTAGATATAAATAGTCTTTCATGCTTTTAGTATGCAGTACCTTTTCTTGTTAAAAAAAAAAAACAGTGCAATTTCCAGCCCTCCTCTTCCTATATCCTATAGTCACTACTGATATTCGGCATGCCTCCGTGCAGATTTTTCAATGCATGCATAAACATATAGTACTTACTTTTTTAAATAAATGAGTGGGATCTTAGAATACAGATTCTTCTGAAACTTACTTTTTTCCCCTCTTAACCTACAATGTATCTCTTTCTATTCCTAACATGTAGGAGGTCTTCTCTCTATATTTGCTGAAAGAATTAAAAAACCATCAGCGTCCTTTTTTAAAAGCCTGTTTGGATTCCATTGACTGGAATGAATCACAGCACCTGCATGGTCCCCAGATGCTGCCTGGCAGCCCCGTCCATCTCCCTGTCCCATAGGACTCGCTTAGACGATGGTGGCAAACTCTGGCCCCAAACTCCCGATGCCTCCTCCCCTGTCCTCCTTCTCAGCTGATGACCTTGCTTCCTGTTGCACTGAGGACAGTGAAGGAACCAAAAGAGCACCTCTGCCAGCTCCCTCCTCCATACCTGGCCCTGTGCTCGCATCTGTGTCCGCATTCCCCATGTGGAGGATGACCTCTTCCGGTCCACACCCTCCCCTCCCCTCCCCTCTGTCCTGCTCAAGGACATTCTTCCAGGCAGTCTTCCCTCTCTACTGTATTGTCAAAATTTCCCGTCAGCTAAAAAACATGCTTTTATTTCTCCCTTTTAAAAACAAACACCTCCTGATTCTCTTGCTGCTTGGGTCCTATGGAGCACAACTCTCAAAGCTGTTGTCTATACTTTCTCACCTCCTCTCTCTCTCTTTTTATTAAGCTCACTTCCAAACACACAAAAATAGGGAGTGCAAATCCTCATGGCCCTCCTTTTGTTCCTGGAGTCCAAGGCAAAACCCAAAGAGCGTGTCATTTCATCCCCTCCATACTTCAGGATGCACCAAAAATAACAAAGAAGACATTTCCTTACACGCCACAAAGACGGTAGCACACTGAACAAAATTAGCAACTTTGATTTAATACCACCTAATGACCAGTCCCACAGTCAACTTTCTCCAGTTTGTGTTAATGAGGCTCCAAGAAGGACCACTGTTTATCTGGTGGCCACGGCTCTTCAATCTCCCTGAATCTATAAGCCCCACTCCTGCCCTGCCCTATCGTTTTGGGTTTTTTTCCCAGGTCATTCCCTCCTTTGAAGAACCCAGGCCAGCTGCCCTATAAAATATCTCACATTCTCAATTTGGTTCACTGCTTCCTCGAGGTGTGGTTAAAATGCTCCTCTGTCCATTTTCTCTTAACACTTTCCAATACAGTTTTCACACCCAAACACTCCACAGAAACTACTTTTATGAAGATGACCAATAACAATGCCCCGACACTAAAGAGGATGGTCAGTTTTCGGCTCCGTGAGCACTCCATCTTCCCTGAAACGCTGTTATCCCTTGGTTTCCAGGGCACCACGCTCTCCTCCTGCCTCACGGGGCGCCCCTTCCCAGGCTCCGTGACTGGTTCCTCACCTCCTCGGTCTGGATGCCAGCAGCCAGTCCGGGGCTCAGGCTTTGGATCTCTTTCCCCCTCACACCCCTGGTGATCTTACCCAGCCTCCCGACTCTAAACACCATTTATAGAGCTGGAACATGAACCTCCGTGTATCCAATTTTAGAGGTGGACAACTCTGGCCATGCTGTCCATACTTATCCTTTTCCTACCGGTGTCCTCACCCCTCCGTCACCCCTTTCCTCCCAAAGCCTCTCCTTGTTGGGAAGTGTGTCAAAGAGGGTGTTTTGCCAGTGGGGGAAACACAAAGGATATGGATGGGCTCCAGACTATTAAGGACAGCCATCAGCCCTGGAAACCCTCTATGTGGCTATCACGATGAGTCCTAACTCTGAAAAAAGAAAGAAATGTAATGGTCTTCATCAAACAACAGCAAACACCATTTGTCAGCTCACGATGCCCCAACTTTCACCTCAGGTCAGTTTCTCCCATGAGCACTAGGCTCCCATATCTGGCTCTCTCCTTCTCAGCTTCTCTACTTAGACATCTGCAAGGCTCTTCAAACCTTATATGCCCAGTTCTGCAGGCAATTAGGGGAATTTGAATAGGGATTAGGCATTGAATAAAACAAAACAAAACAAAAAATGTGTCCACTTGCACAGGTGGAGATCTTTGATAAAAAGCAAGTTACAAAGCATGTATTTTTTTTTAAAGATTTTATTTATTTATTTGAGAGAGAGAATGAGATAGAGAGCATGAGAGGGGGGAGGGTCAGAGAGAGAGGCAGACTCCCTGCTGAGCAGGGAGCCCGACGTGGGACTCGATCCCGGGACTCCAGGATCATGACCTGAGCCAAAGGCAGTCGCTTAACCAACTGAGCCACCCAGGCACCCACAAAGCATGTATTAACTATGACTTCGTTTTGGCTGAAAACTCTTACATGAATATATAGTCTTTTTCTTTTTTTTCTTTTCTTTTCTTTTATTTTTTAAATATTTTATTTGACAGAGAGAGACACAGCGAGAGAACAAACACAAGCCGGAGGAGTGGGAGAGGGAGAAGCAGGCTTCCCGCGAAGGAGGGAGCCCGATGCGGGGCTTGATCCCAGAACCCTGGGATCATGACCTGAGCCGAAGGCAGACGCTTAACAACTGAGCCACTCAGGCGCCCCAATGAATATATAGTCTTTTTCTTATAAGATTTATTTATTTTATTTTAGAAGAGAGAGAGCGAGCGAGCACATGAGCAGGGGGAGAGGGAGAGGGAGAATCCTCCAGCGGACACCCAGGTGTGCGTAGATTCCTGGTGGGGCTCAACGCCAGGATGCTGAGATCATGACCTGAGCTGAAATCAGGAGTCAGACACTTAACTGACTGAGCCACCCAGGCGCCCCTCATACAGGAATATATAGTCTTTGAAAAGGATATGAACGGATATACACTAAGGTGTTAAAAGTAGCAACCTCTGGGAGATAGAAATGGTATTTTTCTCTTTTCCCCTTATATCTGTATTTTCTAAATTCCTTCAGTGCACATATATATATGCTATTTTTATAAGAAAAGGCTATTTTAAAATGGAAAGAACACATGTCTAACACTGAGCTCCTGATCTTTCCCATCTCAACCTCCTCCTGCCCTTCCTATCTCAGTGAGTGGCTGCTCCCAGGACGAGGACGGAGTGGCTCAGGCCAAAAGCCTCCCCTCCTCCCGTGGCAGGGCTCACACCCATGGCTCACTGTTAGAAGATTAATCTAGAATCTGACCATTTCTCACGACTCCTACCGCTATGGGCAAAGAACTGCAGAGGAAATTCATGGAATAAATACAAATGGCCAAAGAACATCTGAAATGGAGTTCAATTTCACTGAGTGACAAACACATGCAAATTAGGTGGAGGTGTCATTTCTGCCCACCAGGTAGGCAAAGATCCCACAGAATGGTGACACCCAGTGTCAGCAGCTGTGGGGAGAAAGCGGCATTCTCCTACACCCTGGAGAGTGCTCGGAGGCGGGCACCCTTAGAAGCTGGCAGCCCCGAGGGCCCCGAGGGTTTGGCGGTAAGAGCTCACTCTGGCCTCTCTGGGCAGTCCCTTTGCTGGACCTGGGCAAGAAGCTGAGCGTGCCCCAGGACTTGATGATGGAGGAGCTCTCGCTGCGAAACAACAGAGGATCCCTCCTCTTCCAGAAGAGACAGCGCCGGGTGCAGAGATTCACCTTTGAGTTTGCAGCCAGCCCACGAGTGGTGAGTTAGTCCCATTGTGCTTATAGGGGAATTGAGGCCCAGAGAGGGCCAGTGGTTAGCCTAAAGCCAAACAGTGAGCCAGATGAGGACATCTGGCCCCTGGGGAATCCCTCTAGCTCCAGCTGGAAAGGCTGTGATGTTCCCATCAAATTGAGCCCCTGACTTGCTCTGTGATCTTAGAAAAGTGGTATCTCTTTAGGCATCTCTCCCCAGATACAAAACATAAAGTGGAATGGGCACGGCGAGCTGTAGGTGAAGGGATTCTAGCTCCTACAAAAAGTGCTCTTGGCTGACTTTGCAGTGAGCAGGATTTAGATTAGACATTGAGCTTGACCTAAGTGAGAAAACACAAAACTCTCTCTTCTTGCCCCTATAAGAACTTAAAGGCCAGAAAACAGTCTGCTGGTAGAGACAAGAATGGCTTATCCTCAGGCTTCAGAAAGTCAGCAGGCAGTTTCAGTTACTTGGAATGAACTTGGGGTCATTCCACTCATACTCCACTCAATGTCTGGACTAAAAAGGGGGTGACTAAGAGGCGATGATGTGGCAGAATGCAGAATAGTAAAGACAACAAAACACCTACCTTTGCTAGCCAAGCACTTCATGTGTATCATCTCATTTAATGCCCATAGAGCCCTATAAGCTAGAAATTATCAACACTACTCCCATTTTATAGATAAGGAAACTGAGACTCGGGATGGTTATCTGCCCAAGGTCAATATTAGAATAGCAATTAACATACAGAGAGCATTTCTCTGTTCCAGGAACTGGGATTAGCACCCTATGCTATTAATTCATCCCCCCAATATCCCTGGGATGTAGGCACTAAGATTATGCACCCCCCTTTTTTGTTGGAAGGAGAACCCTGGCCCCTTGCTGCACTGAGCCTCCCTGTGGTCTATTTGCCCCCACAGATCGTGGATGGAAGTGCCAAGGGGAAGGTAACAGGATCGAAGGTGACAGGAACAGCAGAGCTGGGGACGGTGAGTATGCAGGGAACCCCCGCAAGAGGGGAAGCTGGGGGAAGGGGCCAGGCAGCTCTGTGTGGCAGTCCATGGCCTCTGAGCACCCGCCCCTGTGCCCAGGTTGCCAATGGCCCCGAGGGGCAGAACTGCCGCTCTGAGCTCCACATCTTCCCAGCCTCATCCCAGGGCCCCGAGGATGCCCATTCTGCAGCCTTCCCCACAGTGCGTGCCCGCAGCCCCAGCGCCCTGGCACCCGGTGAGTGCCTCCCCGGGTCCTGGGACCAGGGCTGGGGGACCAGAGCCCAGGCCATGCTCCACTGTGGGGCGGGAACCAGCGCCCAGAGAGTGTCTGGTCTACATCCCCCATCCCCCTCCACAGACCTAACACAAGCCCAGAGAGGTGCAGCAATGCACCCAAGGTCACACACTGAGCCAGAGTCTGCGCCCCAACTCACAATTCCCCTGCTCCAGTCCTCCTTGCTTCCAGGGATGGGGAAGGATCGGTCCCCTTTGCTGGAACAACTCTGGCGTTATATTCCCCCCACACCCCCCATCCCAGCTCCAGGCTTCCCTCCCCCAACCATATCTGTGGGGTGGGCAGGAGTGGGAGCTGAGGGAGAAAAGAACCGAGCTGCCCCCCCATCTGCCTGCCCCCCATGAGCCCTGCTCCATCTCCAGGCTATGCCGAGCCACTGAAGGGTGTCCCGCCAGAGAAGTTCAACCACACAGCCATCCCCAAGGGCTACCGCTGTCCTTGGCAGGAGTTCATCAGCTACCGGGACTACCAGAGGGATGGCAGAAGTGACACCCCCAGCGTGGCCCAGTATCGAAATTTCAACAAGTAAGGCCGGGGGCGGGGGGGCGGCTTGGGGAGAGATGGCTGGGGTGTGCAGGTGCCCGTGGTGGCAGTTCCTGAGCCCTCTCACAGGCCAAGCTCTATCTGAGCACTTCCACACTCTTGCCTCGGCCCATAGTAGGTGCTCAAGAAATGCACAGGGAATGAATGGGTGAATGTGCCACACATCTTGGTTTCTCCACACAACAGGGCAGGGAGGTGCTACAGTTTTTCCTATTCTGCGAGTGAAGGGACCCACTCAGGAACATCAACAACCTGCCCAAGGTCACAAAGCAAGGAAGCAGCGGGTGTGGGATCCAAGTCTGCATTTGTCTGACTCCAGAGCCCGGTTTCTTGTTTCCTCCCTGTTGTGTGCCATCCCTTTGACGCACGTTCCTCCCTGGGTGGGGCCCCAATCTCACTAGTCCTAGATCAGCTCAGCCTTTTCCTCACTTTCCTCAAAGGTCTGGAAGAGGCCTAGAGATGGCTTTGGGGTGTATCAAAGTGGGGAGTGGCAGTGAAATGTTGGACGCCAGATGTTGAGAGCCGCAGAGGAGTGGCTTGTACTATTTAGAGCATGGGGCCTCAACGTGGGCTTACATGCAGACTCCTTGCTTCGCTGTGTGACCTTGGGCAAGTGACTTAACCTCTCTGAGCCTCTATTTCCCCATCTGTAAAATGAGACTATTACAGTATCTACTTTGTAAGACTGTTGTGAGGGTGGCATGAGAAGCTGTAGGCAAAGTTTCTAGTAAGTAATAAGCTCTCAATAAACAGTAGCTATTAGTATTAGTATTCGTACTAGTATTAGTTGCAGGCTGAAATAATGGTTGGAAAAGCTAATAGAGAGAACTGGAAAGGGATAAATTTAGTGTTCTGCCCCAGGGGCCCAAAGACAAATCACAGGCATCAAGACAGGAGCCTGGCACAGGAGGGAGGCCTTGGGCTAGGGGATGCCTTTCAACTGCAGTTGGCTTCCTCAGGCTGATGCGATTTCTGAAAAATGCTCCTCTGGCCTGGGCGGCATTAAGTGAGAAAGACGAGGGTCCACGGGAGGAGGCCACGGTCCAGCTCTTCTGGCACCTGCTCAGACCACATGCGAGACTGTCTGACAGCCGGGGGCGATCAGCCCTGAGAAGAGACTGCTCAGAAGAGAGGTGACCTCCCTCACACAGCTGATAGCCAGGGAGGGCCCCGACGGGAAGAACTGTGCCCAACAGGCACCACGGGAGCCACGAGCCATTGGCAGGCATTCTGGGGTTTCTGCCAGGCCAGACCGTGTTCTCTCTGCTCCTGGGGCCCTCAGCCCTTACCCGCCCAGCTAGTTCAGACCCTCGGTAGACATTCAGTCCTGAGCGCTGGCTTCCAGGCTGGCCCCATCCATCTCACGCTGCAGCTAGGACAGGACGAAGCACATTCCTACCAACTGTTGGAGGAGGGCCTTAGGGGGCCCTAAGCCCAGGCCCCCGTTGAGACCCAAGAGCCAACTGATGCCAAAGCGGGGGTGAGCAGCAGTGTTAGTGGCCAAGCTGTGCTAAGGATCCAGGGCTCTGGGCTTCTAGTCAAGGGCTGGATCGTGAGGCCTGTGCAGCTTGGAAATTGCCCAGCCTATTCCCGCAGGGCCTGGCTGTTGCCGCCACAGCCAGGGTGGTCCAGGCAGACCCGTTCTCCTGGCTGGAGCCCAGGCCCTGGCCCGAGGCCTGCCTTTCTACCCCAGAGGCAAGCACGCCCTCATTCCCACTGTTCCCAGGCTTCGAGGAAAACACTACATGAGCGGTGCTTTTTAAGTTTTCTTAAGATGAAAAAATAGTTTAAAAATAACATACTTATATTCTCTTATACACACACACACACACACACACACACAGAGGCAACTACAAATAAAGAGAGAGCCCTTTGTTCAGCATCCTCCAATCCCAGTTCCCTTCCCAAATTCTCAAAGGTAACACTGGTCAGGTTGGTGTGTATGTTTTCAGATCATTTTCTCCCAGCAACTCCAGTCCTATAGTGGATGGCATTGTTTGGGGTGTATGTGTGCGTTTTGATACTTTGTATCTCATTCTGTAACTTGCTTGCCTTTTGGACGTTTTGAAATCTATCCTACTTATTGTACACAGATCTTTTCATTCCCTTTAAGCGGCTGTATGGTATTCCACCATGCGAATACAGTACATCTGTCTTGTCTGGGTCTCTGCTAATGGACATCTGGGCTGTTTCTGGTTTGTCACCACTCGCTGCTCATACCCGTGTCTTTGTGTGTACATGCACGTGCTCCCCTAAGCCCTATGCTTACGGGTGCAATTGCTGGTTCACAGAGTTTGCACATTTTTAAATTAAAAAGATCCTGCAAGTTGTCCAAGGTAGCAGCATAATTTACCCTCCAACCAGCAGTATCTGAGTGAAAATTTGCCCCACCATCTCACCAACTTTGCCCCATTATCAAATTATTTCTTTTCACCAGTTTTACAGGTGAGAAGTGGCATGTCTCTGTTATCATTTGCATTTCCTGATTCTCGGTGCTCTTTCTAACCCCTCTTCCCTCTCTGGCCTGCGGGTATATTGTTCTGAGGAGAGATGAGCAGAGGAAGGAAAAACCCCATTCCAGCTCCACTGCCTCTGGAGCTTACTTAAGGGGAACCTAGAGTTTTGCCTAGGACAAGCCAATTCTAGCTTTGAAAATTTCATTCCTATTCCCAAGCACCAAGCCATCCCCACCAGAGGCAGATCGGGGGATGGGCAGAGCTGGAGAAACCTGTTAAGGATAATACAAAGCCTTGCTGTACAGGTGGTGACACTGAGGCCCAGAGGGAGGCAGGGAGGGGGCCCTACATGGTGACCCGCATATCAGTGCTCTGCCATCCAGTGGTCTCCCACACAGCCCACCTCTCCTGCTGCTCTTCTCTCCACAGGACCCCGGTGCCCTTTGGAGGACCCCTGGTGGGAGAGACCATTCCCAGGGCAGGCACCCCCTGTGTCCCGGAGCTCATCAGTGGCTTGGAGCTCCTTCGTCTCAGACCCAGCTTCAACAGAGTGGCCCAGGGCTGGGTCCGCAACCTCCCCGAGTCCGAGGAGCTGTAGCCCCAGCCTGAATATTCAGTTCCCCCGTCTTGGTGTTCGGGGAACATCTTGCAGTCAAGACTTCCGGGCAGCACGTCACAGTTTCTGAAGGGTCTTCACACACAACACCTTACTGCAAGTGGCCTCGAAGGCCACAGAGTTCAGTAGTCCCCAAATTTCCTGGGGATGATGTTTTGCACACGGATTTCGGGCCTGCCCCAGACTCGCAGCATTCAGATCTCCTGAGCTGGGGAATTTCTATCAGTAACCAACACTCCGAGCTGATTCCAGGGAAACTTGCTCATGGTTTGCGTCTTTAGACATCCAAGCCACCAGTGAATTCACATGCACGCCTCCGCTCCTCCCTGCTGTGGACTCTAGCTTACACTCCCCTGGCAGGGAGCTCACTAGCAGCCCATCTACCTACGGATAACTCTGATAATCAGAAAGCTTTTCCTTTTATTGAGACGCAGCTCTAAACATCTGCTAAGTGGCGACTGTGTGTAGACACCCTCTGCCAGCCCAGGGAGAGTGTGTGGCGAACACGCCCAGGCCCTGGCCTAGAGGAACAAAGGACAGTAGGGAAGACACATTTGTAAAGCAGGAAATCATGTTCCTTTTCCCTACAGCACACTGACTGACAACAGAGGAAGAAAGGGGGCTTGAGGCAGAAGAGGGGGTCCCTAGCCCTGGGGCTGGGGCGGGATTCCATGAAGCTTCTCAGAGACTTTGGGTGGGACCCCAGAGGAGGACGGAGAGCCATCAAGGGCAGAGGGAGTGATGGGGAGGGCACTCCTGCCAAGTGGACCGGCATGTGCGAAGTGTGGAATTGTGCACAGGAAGAGGTGTGTTCTGGAAAAAGGAGGGCGCTGTGCTAGAGGGGTCAGTGAGGGCCAGCACTGGGGGGACTTTACTAAGGAGATGGGGGCAGTTTTTAAGCTGAGGAGTGATGGGTCTTGCTATGTGGGGCACAGAGTGGCAAGGACTAAGGCCAGAAGCCAGGAATCCTGCAGGGAACAAGGTCTAGACTAGGGAGATGGCCATGGGGATGGAATGAAGGGGCACCCCTCTGTGCACCTTACAGGTCAGGTACAATGTGGAGTACCTGTAAGGCCCCCTTCTTTCTTTTCTCCTTCCACTCACCATCCTGTGCAAGCCTCAGGGTAAATCTCGTCCTAGTCTCCACCAGGGCTATTCAAGGCTATATCCCTTTCACTAGGAAAAGGAGAGAAAGGAATGCCTCTTAGTTCAACTGGTGATGAGGAAGACAATGAAAATGATGATGGTGGTGGCTGCTTTTTATTGGGTGCGTCAGTGCTTGGGCTGCTAGTAGATTCTCCACATATCCTATTTCTTATTTGCAGTTCAACCCTAAGGGAAAGGTATTGTCCCATTTTACAGATGTGGATATCCAGGCTCAAAGGAAGTGGCTTATCCAGGTACAGAGCCAAAATGAGAATGTCTAATTCCACTGGCTGTCCCTTTTCACTGCACTGGGTGGCCAGACCAATGCCCACTCACTCTGGAACCATCTAAGCATGGTGTCCTGCCTTCGGGCTTAGGGGTGAAAAGTGCAGGTTGGGAAGTCAGAATGGATGGGTTGGGCTCTAACAGCTACTGCTGGCTGTGTGAACTTGAGCAAGTCATTTTTCTGTCTCTATACCTGTAAGACGAGGACAAGGCCAGAACCTCCTGGATAGGGCTGTTGTGAGCACAGTGATGGACACATACTTAAGAAGCCCTCAGTCATTATTAGATTTCATGAAGCTACTGCTCTTGACTAGAAGAGACGTTCTTGTTCTTGAGAAGCTGGCTGCAAGATGTCATTGGGGTCAGCAAAGCTTAAGCTGGAAGGAGAGCCTCTGATTACTGTAGGGCTCCCTGTGGACATGGACATGGACATGGAATTACCTCCCTCTGCCTCCTCCCTGACTCCCTCTCTTGGGAACATGAGAAGGTGAGAAATCCAGCTAGTTCCCAGGGTGTGTGGGATAGTGGTTACATTTTCCTTTTGTTCTGGACTTTCACTGCACCCCACACCATCTTGAGGGGCCAGCAGCCTATTAGACTTGCCTGCCATTGATGTGTTGTTTTGAATTGGGGGGCTGCTATTGAAGGCCATGTCTGCGTGAGCTGAAAACCAACCGTGAAAGTGTCTGACACATAGAAGAGAGGATCTGGACTACCTTGGCTTAGCTCTGCTGTGTTCCGGATGGTGATGGCTGCCCCTAGCTACAGGAGAGGAGGGGCTGCTACACCCGAAAGCGAATCCGCATTCTTTCTTCTGATGATGTGACTTTCACTGACATTGTTTAAAAAAAAAAAAAAAAAAGGAATGCTTATTATCTAAATAAATAAGTAAAATGTGGAAAGACTGGCCCATCTCCCATGCTCATAGTATCTCCCATGCTCATAGACTTTCCCAGCCTCCTGCATTCTGCCTCATCCCCACATACTGGAGGTAACCATGAGTAACAGTTTGGACCTTCAAGAATTCTAGAATTATTTGACTAGATAAATATGTAGTGTGGAAAGGTGCATGGGGCGAAAATATGTCTTTGTTTAATGGGATCATACCGTATGTACTATTTTGTATTTTGCATCTTTATTCAACAATAAGTAAAATTTGGATCCTGAAAAAGCAGGCCATTAACTTTTCATGTAATTTGTGGGTTTAGTGAGCCCTTCATATAAAATCCTATTCTTTGCCTGTTCATAGAAAATTCTATGCTTTTTGGTCCCAGAGTCCTGGGATCGAGTCCCACATCGGGCTCCCGGCTCAGCGGGGAGCCTGCTTCTCCCTCTGACCCTCTCCCCTCTCATGCTGTTTCTCTCTCTCTCTCTCTCTCAAATAAATAAATAAATAAAATCTTTAAAAAAAAAAAAAAAGAAAAGAAAATTCTATGCTTTTGCCTGTTCTATTCCTTACCTAAATGAAATCATCCGGTGATATGGAAATGAAAAGGACTGAGACCAGCCAGGACATTGGGAAAGTGGACATGAGCTATGGCAGGGATGAGTGGAGAGGAGCTGGGTTCCTTGGGCGTGGGCGCAGACACAAATTAGCAAGCAAAGGAAGGCGGATACAAACATGTATGTGTGCTCTTGCAAGGAAGTGTTCATATGAAAGTCGGGATGGGGTTAACTTTGGGAGGAAGGAAAGGCTGGTGATTGTGAAGGGATAAAAGGCTTCTGGGGAAAGCTGGACAATTTCCGTTGCTGGATTCAGGTGACCGTTACACGAGTGTTCACTCTAGAATATTAAATTTAGTTGTACATCCGTATTTTATGCACTTGTTCTGTACATGTGTTATATTTTACCAAAACAATTCCTTCTTTCAAAAAGTGAATGGACAAATCAGTAACAGATCAGACGTACCTGATGAAAGAATTAGTGAACTAGAAGTGCCCATAATGTTTCAAAGAGAGGTGAAAAGACAGAGAGTATGAGAGAAAAATTAAAAAGACACGGAGAATAAAATGGAAGTGTCTGACAGTACTGATAGGAATTCCAGAAAATGCTTTAAAATGACTGGGTTTTCTCCAGATTTGATAAAAGACATAAATTCACACCATCCTCACCCTGTCATGAGAAGGGATATTAAATCTACACTTAAGAACCACTGTATTGAGGGGCGCCTCTGTGGCTCAGCCGGTTGAGCGGTTGAGCATCAGCCTTCAGCTCAGATCATAATCTCAGGGTCTTGGGATCAAGCCCTGAGGGCTCCCTGCTCAGCAGGGAGTCTGCGCCTCCCTCTCCCCCCGCCTCCCCCACTTGTGGAGCACTCACGTTCTCTTTCTCTCTCTCTCAAATAAAATCTTTTTAAAAAAACCCACTGTATTGAAATTGCAGAACTCCAAAGTCACAGAGAAATTTCAAGAAAGCTTAAATTACCTACAAATTACCCAGATGAAAAAGCTAGATTATCTACAAAAGATGGACATTTACAATGACAGCAATAACACAAAAATATTTTCAAGAAGTGAGAGCAAAATAAACTCATTTTCAGACAAATAAGTAGTATGAGAATTTCCCACTAACCCCGGAAAGAACAAAAGAACATGCTTTAGTACTGTCAGACACTTTAGGAAGGATCCAGAAAAAAAGTATAGAATCTAAGAAGCAATGGTGAGCACAGAGATCAATCAATTCAATAGACAGCAGGAAGGATGAAAAAGAAGCAATTAAAGGGACATGAATTAAAGTATAAATACATTTAAATATATCAGTTATCACAATAAATGTAAATGTATACAACTCACCAATTTAAAGATACTCACAGTTTGGGTAAAAAGTAATTCCAGCTCTATGCCTTTCACAAATAGCACTCCTAAAAATATGACATGGAGGCAAACTAAAGAAATGGAAAAGGATAAAGCAGTTAGATGTTGTCCGGAAGAAATGTGATCTAGTTATATTAACATCAGACAAGGAGACTTCCTGGCAAAAAGCATTATTGTGATAAAGAGGATCCTAACATAATGATAAGCCCATAGTCATTGTGGAAGATTTAACACATTTCTTTGAATTACTGATCAGTCATCAGAGTAAGGATATAGGAAATTTGTACAATGAAAGGAAAATGTGGAATCTTGCACCACCAAATTAGAGAATACTCGTTATTTTCAACTACTATGAAACACTTCATAAAATGAACACACAAAACTTAAAACTTTTATGCATCACAAACAATGAATCATGGAACACTACATCTAAAACTAATGATGTAATGTATGGTGATTAACAACAATAAAAAAATTTAAAAACTTTTATGCATCAAAGGATCCTTTTTTTTATTATGTTCAATTAGTCAACATATAGTACATCATCAGTTTTTGATAGAGTGTTCAACAATTCATTAGTTGCATATAACACCAAGTGCTCATCACAACACGTGCCCTCCTTAATACCCATCACCCGGTTACCCCATCCCCCCACCTCCCTCCTTTCTGTAACCCTCAGTTTGGTTCCCGGAGTCCAGAGTCTCTCGTGGTTTGTCTCCCTCTCTGATTTCTTCCCCTCAGCTTTCCCTCCTTCCCCTGTGGTCCTCCACGCTATTCCTTATGTTCCACATATGAGTGAAACCATATAATTGTCTTTCTCTGCTTGACTTATTTCACTTAGCATAATCCCCTCCAGTTCTGTCCATGTTGATGTAAAAGTTGGGTATTCATCCTTTCTGATGGCTGAGTAATATTCCATTGTATATATGAACCACATCTTCTTTACCCATTCATCTGTTGAAGGGCATCTCGGCTCTTTCCACAGTTTGGTTATTGCGGACATTGCTGCTATGAACACTGGGGTGCATGTGCCCCTTCTTTTCACTACGTCTGTATCTTTGGGGTAAATACCTAGTAGTGCAATTCCTGGGTCATAGGGTAGCTCTATTTTTAACATCTTGAGGAACCTCCACACTGTTTACCAGAGTGGCTGTACTAGCTTGCATTCCCACCAACAGTGTAAGATCAAGACAGCAAAAGGACAATCTACAGAATAAAAGATTATAACTCAAAGAATAAAGTAAATATCCATGAATTCACAGTGATGTAAATAAATCATTGAACAAACAAATAAATGGGGGAGAAAAGACAAACCTTCTTTCTTCCTCACAAAAGATTTCCAAATAATGTATGTAGAAACTTCCTCTTCAGGAGATGAAATGTAATTCCCATCCTATTGATTGTAGATTGGCCTTACTGACTTGCTTCCAAAAAATAGAACACAGGAAGGGAAAAACAGTAAATTTATGAAGGAGAAACCTGGAAGACATCAAGGGATCAAGGTTAACATCATCAATGATATTCAGATCCCTGACATAACATGGTAAGAAGGGCACTGCCCTTTGAGATATTTTCCCCAAATCCATAAGCCCAGGCGAATCATGAGAAAACATCAGACAAATTCAAGTCGAGAGACAGTCTACAAAATAGCTTACCAGTACTCGTTGGTAATGTGGTAGACTGTGTTGGGTTCTGGAACAGAAAGGGATATCAGAGGGGGAAAAAAATGGCGAAATTCAAATAAAGACTTTGTTTAATTAATAGTATTATATGAATGTTAATTTCTTAGTTTTGACAAAAATACCATGGCTATGTTAGATGTTAACATTGGGAAAGCTGGGTGAACAGTAACAACTCTCTGTACATCTGTGCAACTTTTTTGTAAATCTCAAGTTATTCCAAAATAAAGTTTTAAAACTAAAGAAAAAACAATCCCCACAAAGAAAACTCCAGGCCCAGATGGCTTCACCAGTGAATTGTATCAAATATTTAAGAAAAAAATAATAGCAATGTTACACAAACTCTTTCAGAATATACAGGAAGAGGTAACATTTCCAAAGATATTTGATAAAGCCAGAAGAAACCTCACAAAGATGTTACAGAAAATTCAAGATCAATACTTCTCATAAACATAAACACAAAAAACCAAGTGATATATATGTAATTCATAAATATAAAGATATATGATATATAAATACATATATAAAATACATTATGACTGTGTTGGGTGATAGGCTTCAAATGGTGGAGGTGGTCAAAAGGCACAAATTTCTTGCTGTAAGATAAATAAGTTCTAGGGATGTAATGTACAGTATGGTGATTACAGTCAACAAAACTGTATGACATATTCGAAAGTTAAGAGAATAGATCTTAAAAGTTCTCATCACAAGAGGAAAGTGTAACTATGTGAGGTGATGGATGTGAACTAGTTATTTTGTAATTATTTTGCTATACATACAAGTATCAAATCACATTGTACACCTTAAGCTAATCCAATGCTATGTGCCAATTATATCTCAATAAGAGTGGAAAAAATACAATAAAAAAATTTTAAAAAGAAATAAATGACTAAGTTAGGCTTATCCCAGAAATGCAAGGTTGCTTTGACATTTAAAAATCAGTGTATCATAGAAAGACAAATACCATATGATTTCACTCATATGTGGAATTTAAGAAACAAAACAGATGAACATAGGGGAAGGGGGAAAAAAAAAGAGAGGGAAGCAAACCATAAGAGACTCTTTACTATAGACTCTTAACAAACTGAGGGCCGCCGGTGGGAAGTGGGTAGGGGAGGGGCTAGATGGGTGATGGGTATTAAGGAGGGCACTTGTGATGAGCACTGGGTGTTTCAAGTGACAAATCTCTGAATTCTACTCCAGAAATCAATATTACACTATATGTTAACTAAATAGAATTTAAATAAAAACTTAAAAAAAAAATCAATCAATGTAATTTGCCACATTAACATAGTGAAAGAGAAAACCATATGAGGCCAAAAAAGTGCTGACAAACTTCAACACCATTTTATGGTGAAAATTCTCAGAGAATTTGGAAGGTAGCTTCTTCAGTCTGATAAAAGGCAGCTACAAAAAAAAAAAATCTATAGCTAATATCCTACTTAATGTTGAAATACTGAAGGTATCCCCCCAAGATTGGGAACAAGACAAAGATGTCCACTCTCACCAGTTCTGTTTAATATATTATTCAAGGTCCCAGCCAGTTCAGCAAGGCAAGAAAAAGAAATAAAAGGCGTAAAGATTGGGAATGAATAAGTAAAATAGTCTCTATCTGCAGATGGTATTATTGCTAGAATCTATAAAGCAAGGACTAGAAAAACTGAATTCGCAAGGTCACAGGATACAGGGTGGATACACAAAAATCATTATATTTTTATATATTAGCTGCAACAATTAGAAAGTACATTTTTTAAAAATTCCATTTACAATAGGAACAAATCACAAAATTCTCAGCAATAGTTAACAAATGTCATGCAAGACCTGCATGCTGAAAGGATAAAATACTGCTGAGAGAAATTACAGAAGACTTGGTGCAATGGAGACATATACCATGCTCATAAACTGGAGGACTCAGTAGTGTCAAGATGTCAGTTCTTCTCAAACTGATCTACAAATCCAACGCAATCCCAATCACAGTCCTATGTTTTTGTAGACATTGACAGATTGATTTTAAAATGTATATGGAAATGCAAAAGACCTAATAAAGGAATATCTTTTCAACAAACAAGAAATGAAGTCACTGGGATGAGCTTGAATCCAATCTGACTGGCGTCCTGATATAAAAGGGGATATTTGGAAACAGAGACATATACACAGGGAGAACACCATGTGGAAACAAAGGCAGATACGGGGGTGATATTTCTATAAGCCAAGGAATGCCAAAGCTTGCCGGCAAACACCAGAAGCTAGGAGAGGGACCCGGAACACATTCTCACAGCCTTAAAAAGAATCAACCCTGCCAACACCTTGATCTTGGATATCTAACCTCCAGAAAGAGGAGACGCTACATTTCTGTTGGTTAAGCCACCCAGTTTATGATACTTTGTTACAGCAGCCTTGGCAAACTGATACAAATTTTGGTATGCTGGACAATAAATTGGACTTCATTAAATGAGAAATCTCTGACCATCAAGAAAATTGGTCATCATCTGCGCATTAGGAAACTTAATAGGTAGATTCGAAGAAAGTATTTGCAAACATATATCTGACAGAGGACTAATATCTATATTTTAAACTCCTATAGCTAGTTAAAAAAAAGACAGAAAGCCAATGAAAATGGCCAACATACCTGAAAAGGCACTTCACAAAAGAAGAGATATAAACAACCAACAACTACTTGAAAAGGTGCTCAACTTATTTGTCAAAATGGAAATGCAAACTGAAACCACAATGAACTACTACGATACACCCACCAGAAAGACTTTTTACATCAAATTTTGGTGATGTTGTAGACCAACTGGAACTCTTGTTGGTGGGAATGTAAAAGGGTACCACCACTTTGGGAAAAGGTCCGACGGTTTCTTTTAAAAATAAACAGGCACCAGCCCTGTGATCCAGGAATTCCACTCTATTTATTCAAGAGAAATAAAAACATATATTCACCAAAAAATGTGTACAAGGATATCCATAGCAGCTTCAAATCATGATAGCAAAAAGTTGATAGGTAAGTGATGGTATAATATCATGGAATGCTACTCAACAAAAAAAAGGAATTATACACAACATCATGGATGATCCTTCAAAACATCATGTTGTTGGAAAGAAGTCAAAAACAAAGAGTTCACAATGCATGATTCCATTTATATAAAGTTCTAAAATAAGTAAAACTAAGCTATGGTGAAAAAATCAGAATAGTAGTTGCCTCTGGAGATTGGTGGGGGGTGGGTATTGACTGGGGAGAAGAGGGGAAATTTTTCTGGAATGATGGTAACGTTCCACATCTTGCCAGAGATTTGAGTCACATAGATGGATACAATGTTAAAATTCTTGAATAGCATACTCAAGATCTGTGCATTTCAATCTATGTAAATTTTACCTAGAAAATCTATAAATATTGAACTCTGGTTAATTATATAAATGCTTAAGTGCTTCAAGGTGAAGTATACTGATGTCTTCAATTTACTCTGAAATGCATAAAAAATAGATTGATGGATGCATAAAGGAATACAGATATGTGGTGAAGCAAATATGGCCAAATGTTAATTGTGGATCTAGTGAGTGGATATAGGATTGCTCACAGTAAAACTCATTCAACCTTCCTGTATGTTAGAAAATTTTTGTAATAAAATGTTACAGAGAATATGAAGACTAGAGGATATCTGGGGAAGATAACTTTTTCTAAACTTAGAAAGCCATTTTATCCTATACTAGTGTTTCTCAGAGGGTGGTCTTTGCCTTACCCATGGAAGGAACTCACCTAATGAAGTTTAAGAACAAATGTTCTATATCCCTATCCCGCAGGATTTCACTCCACACCCAGAGCTTCAAATGCTACTTCATCACCAACTCCCAAATCTTGATCTTTCTTAAGCTCCAATTCCTTTTGGGCTGGGAATTGCCACCGGTCTCATAGGTAACTTCAACTTACCAAATCCCACATCGGACTCATTCTCCTACCATTTCCCAATCTCACTCTCCTCCCCTACCCATCATTCTGTCAGGAAAAGGCATCCTTCTGCCCATCTGAGCAAACCAGAGACCCTGGGGGTCATCCTAGACCCCTCTTTCACTTCCATTATTTCAGGTGTCATTACACTGGCTCACTGACTTGGCTTCTAAAACATCTGTCACATCACTCTTTGCACCATAAGCTGCCTTAGTTCAGCTATCATGCTGCTTTACCTTTTGAGCCTTCTCCATGACGGGAGGACCTCAAATTACTACAGGCAGCGACAAGGGCTGTGGGGGAGGCATTATGACAAATAGACAGAGGCTAAGTAATGTGCCCAAGGGCACACAGCTGGGAGGTGCCGAAGTGAGAATCTGAACGCAGTAATCTGGCTCCAGAGTCTGTTTAAACCATTACTCAGTATAAACAAAAACGGGGTTTTTCTTTTTTTGTGATGAGAGTCAGCTACACCTCTGTTACTAGAGTAACACTAGCTGCTGTAACAGATAAATCCCCAGGTCTCAAAAGTTTACTATAACAAAAATTCCTCCCATTATAATGCTCTATCTTCAAAGCAGTGATAGAAAACCCAGGCTCCTTCTGTGTGATTCTGCCATCTTCATCATTCTCCAGTGTATTTAGCCAGACGGCAAAAGAGCTCATAGGATTACGTGAGATGTTTTTACAGACCTGGTCTGGGAATGGCAAAGGTTACTTTTCACCAAGTGTGCCCCCAGCTGTGTGCCCTAGAGGAAAAGGAAATGGAGGTGGTTAAGTACCTAAGAGTTTTTGTCAAAATCTAATTGCTCTTAATTTTGATTTACTCAAGAAAGATTGAGCATCGATTCTATACTTCAATTTATGCTGGCATATTATGCTTTTCAAAAAATATATATCCATAGCCAGGCAGTGCACAAAATTTAGAATCTCCTCCTTCTCAAAAAGGCAAGAATATACAATTGGAGTCATATATTTACATATGTATATATATATATATATGTACAGATATAAACTTGGGAATTATTAAAACACAATACATAATCTACATCTTATTCACAAATTGGTTAAAAATCTTTTACATGTTCAAAAGTAAGCCAAAAACTAAAACAAACTCAACCCTACCCAAAATGGTGTCAAAATACTTGGAAGTACCCTCATTGATTCACATTTGGTATTACTAGAAATTAAATCAGATTTTCTAAATCCTTTTAGATTTTTAAAACTTAAAAAAAACTTAATAAAAAACAACAACAAAAAAACCCCTCCATGATGAAACCTTCTAGAGGAAAAAAAAATTCTCCAGAGAAGCTAAAAATGGGTTTTATATGGGTTATGTCCACCCCATTAGTATATATTTTAGGTAAGTGACATGGAATCGGCTCCTGGAGAAATGGAATTTCAGGTAATTTTTGCTTGTTTCCCTTTAAAATGACTTCTATAAAATATGGCAATGACTTTTTAAAGCTACCACTTATCAACCACCACATGGCAGGTTCTGCACAGAGTGCCCTCTGTGCATTATCTTATTTCAACCTCATACCCTTAAGTACTTACTAAAGCGGCTGGGCCTTTTTCCCATCATAAAATGGACACAGAGATAAAAATCAGAACAGTCTAAAGCCAAAAATGTACTGGTTTCTAATTTCTACCAACCTCAAGGTGAGCTACCAAAGGATAAGGAAAACAAAAATCTAGAAATAAGCCTATGACAACGTTTGGAAAATTGACCCGTTTTAATTTTTTAAAAACAAAAAACACAACACAACATCCAATTATTTTTACCATCTACAATTCAGTTATATCCAAACATTCTAAAACCAAACAGAGTGCCCTGGCCAGAAGCAGGGGCTGAAGACGTGACGCTGAAGACACACGAAGGTGAATGCTAGAGGTGACAGTCCCAGCTAGCTGCAGGTCACAGGTCTTCCAACACGCGCCAGTGCCTTTCGGCTCAGTTTGCTCACGTGTTTTACAGGAAGCTCTTTAAAATAATTTCATCCCAGACACCAGATTTTTTCAATAATACGCAGCTCCATAACATTTGTGTTTCCATCCAATTGACGGGAATAAAAAGCAATTTTTGTTTTTGTCTTGTTTTGGTAGCGCAGAGAGGTAAAACTATCCGCCAGATTCCTTTAGTAATGAGGAAAGGAGAGGTAAGAAAAGATCTGGGCTGTGCTGGGTGCTGGTTCCTACTGTCTCTTTAATGTTGACTTCTGAAGTGTTAAATCACACTCATGCCACTACAATGATTAGTACTAGTAATCTTTTTGCAGATGATAAAAAGGAAAAATACCCAATGGACATAAAAATGGTCAAAAAGATTTTACTGCAGGTCAATTTTTTCCCCCAAAAAAAGATACAAAATGAACATACAATTGGGATGGTAACTCCGTTAGACATTCCAATTCACCCAGTTGCTTGTTCGCCACAGAAGTAAGGAGAACAGGCATTAAGTTTGATTAGTAATGTTATAGTAGTAACCAGATGTGTTAATGGCAGCTTATTTGAGGTCCATCAATCCTTGGAATACGTGTAGGGAAGCACGGCTGTCGTTCTCTGACTGCCCACATCTGAACACATTCAGCTACCATGGAAACTACAAAGGAAGGAAAAATATATTTATTCCAAGATTCATGTACTGGGATTTTTAAGCGCCCTTTCTTCTGTAAAGCCCCGGAGTGGTGATAATGTGCTAGGGACTGCTGTGTTTGCCGGCATGAGCGCCCATCCTCTGAGGGTCCTGAGAAGGATAGTGGATTGGTCCTGGAGCCCTCATGAAAGGAGGGGGTGGTCCCATTGGGTGGAACATGTGTGGCCCAAAACCTGCAGATGGGAGAGGACAAATTTGTTAGGCTTGCAGTTTCCTTGACAACCTTTCAAACCTCTGAATCTTTCTAAGGTCAAAACCACCTACACAGAAACCAAGCTAGCTGACAAGGGGCTTCAGAAAATGTCAGTTCACAGACTTGCTTAGGAACGTCTACCTGTAGTACTTCCTTGGTTTTAGAAACCTGTCCCCTCACACCAGGTTAAAAGAAAACTCCACGGGACTCAAGGTATCTGCTAGTATGTCATCTGAACCTTTGCTATCTATCGAACACGCCACTCCTACTGGCCAGGATTCAATCAGGATTTGCGAGGGGAGGAAGATATCAGGCGGAGGCAAGACCCTGTCACCACCAACATCAACGCTTTATCCTAGAATGGAGGGTGTTCAAAAACCAGGACTTTGTTAAAGAGAATGGGGACTCTGCCACAGGAGAAATGGCCACTTGTGATTTACCTACATTTTTCACATTGTCACTAACAGCTTCTAGAGCAGCACGATACAAAGTGCTGGTCCTGGAACTGTTTATTACTGCCCCCCCACCCCCAAAGATAATGCCATATGTAACTTGAGCCAAAGTTTAACTTAATTACAAGACCAAGCACCCTGTTTAGTTCATCTGACACATTTTTTTAACAAAACTCTCTTAATGACTTTATATCCTGGCACAAGCTCTGTATCTTACAGACAGGTAATGAATGCTTTGTACAGTGACACACATGCACTTTAAGCAATGGCACTCTAGGACATTAGTTAGGATTTAGTTTAGAACAGGGGACAAACTGATGATAGATAACTATAATCCAGTAACTCCCATTCTGATTATATATATACTCAGATCTTTAGCTCTGGCGACTTTCCTCTCCTCGGCAGGCCAAGAAAAAAAAGATCAGGGACCCTAACAAATCAGGTTTACTTGCAGACTTCTATGGGGGAAATTAAAAGGCTTTGGACATGATAATGAGGTGTGAAGACAGGACTCTCACAAGGATTTTTCTGGGCTAAGTTAGACCTATCTGCTGAGAAGGACGATGGATGTTACCTGGGGGTGGGGGCGGGGCAATACCAGGGGGTGGTGGCAGTGCAATGTTCACCACAGCTGGAGGACCACTCGGGGGGAGGTTGAAGTAGTTGGCAGAGGCTTCTTCTTCTGCTGCAGGAGGAGGAGGAAGAGCTGGAGAACAGAAAAGAGCCAACAGTTGGAGGGAAGACAACAGTGCAACACTGTTTCCCCTCCTGTAAGTCCTGGGCTCCTACTGACAGAAAAGGGCTGCTGCAGGAGCCAGAGACCCAGCCAGCTGGTCTCTCCTCACACTGAGGAACATTAGGGCAGTGTGAGCATCTGAAGTCATCCAGCTACCGGGGGGGGGGGGGGGGGGGGGGCGGGTAGCAGAAAGTCTGCACTCACCTCCTGGCAGTCCTGGAACGGGCTCAAGCTTGATCCCAGAGTCTGTGGTTCCATCCTTCTCTTTTTCTTTTCCTCTGGCTGCTTGGGACCTGGGAGAGACATACACAAACACACAATGTCAGCACTTGGTCCCACCTTCTCTCACACGTCTGCTTCTCATTTTCTTAGTCAAGCAGAGATGCTTCGCTCCTTGCCTCCTCTTTGGCAAACACTCCTTCCCCATAAAGGCCACAGTGCAGAGTGGATAAAAGCAAATGTTTTAAAGCCAGAAAGACCTGGATCCAAAATCTGCTGGAAATGTTGTATGGACGAGAAGAGGCTACCTCTGTGTGTTTGGCATAGTGCTGACTTAGCACACCGGAAGCACTTGGTCTGGGGCGCTGCTTTTAGTGATCTCCTTCCTGCTTCCAAGCCGGAAACCTATCCTCCCTTTGAACTTTCAGGGCATTTCACCTGAGTCTCTCTTACACAATCATCACTTTCAAAAACTTGAATTAGCTTTTCTTCTCCATTGGACAACCGGCCTCTAGAGGGCAGAATCTAGGTCTAATGCATTTGTAAACTCTCAAATCCACTTTTCATACCCTGGCGTCACAGTTGGCCTATAATAGCTGGTCATAAAAAACACGAACCTTCAAAGGAGTAGATTACTACATCAAAACCCTGAATGAATTTCCAAAGCAGGATCTTCCCAACATCCACAAGATTGAAGTGTTAGAAAATGAAAAATTCTTTTTAACAGTCCTACTGATTTATATCTATTCACCAAAAACATACTAGTCCCCAGATAATGGAACACTTTCTTGAAAATCTCAATAAAAAAATGTTGAGTCTAATTCTCACCTTCCCCATTTCACGTTGAGTCTACGGCCATTGACAATCAACTTATTAAAAGACTTCTCTGCAGCCACTTCTGCAGCCTGCCTCGTGGCAAACTGGATGAATGCACACTGCTGTCTTTGCACGACAGTGATCGTCCGAATTTCCCCAAACTGGTAGAAGTGATTTCTGAAGGGATACAGGCAGAGAAACAGGAGAGTTAATGATATACTCCCAGGAGGCTGTGGTGGATTATTCACTCTTCCGCTGACTCACGAAGCAGGTGGCCCCATGGTTATCTGTCTAACCACCTGCAGGTAGACCCCCCAATACCCTGCCCTACTGTGGGTGCTACTTACTGAAAGAGAGTAAGAAAAATAATGAGTAAATAAAGGTTTACAAACATCTCAGAGGTTTTTCCCATGGAGGAAAAAGGGGTCCAGCAGGTTCCTTAGGGACCTAAGCCCTACATAAGGGTCTGGCAAACTATAGCCCCCATGGCCCATGAACCAAGAACATTCAAAACATTTTTTCAAGATTGTGAAACAACAACGATGACAATGACGACAAAATAAAAGGGAGGAGGAGGAGCACGGAAACGTCTGCCAACTGCAGGGATGGTCTAGCTCTCTCAGACCAGGTTTAATGGAGAAGGTTATGGAAGGCATGTTATATACTATAAGAGACTCTTCTTCATTTATCTCTTTGCAAGAGGTAATTTCCATCACTATCTATCCAGATGTTTCATCTAGCCAAGCAAAATACAAGTCAAGGATAATACAAATACACCAAATAGAAATCTCTTCAAAAGGTCAACAATTTAAACTGTAAGAGCTTTCTAACTGCCAAGTTCTCCCTCCTTGACATAATTAATCATACCTGGATATGTGCCATATTTTAAAAATTCTAATTGGCTATTATAGGTCAAATAGAATCTCACATAGGGGAGCCTGGGTGGCTCAGTCAGTTAAGCGTCTGACTCTTGATTTAGGCTTAGGTCGTGATCTCAAGGTCGTGAGATCGAGCCCCGTGTCAGTGATATGCTGAGCATGGAGCCTGCTTAAGATTCTCTCTCTCCCTCTCTGCCCCTCATCCCCCTGCTCCCTGCTCACGTGCCCTCTCTCCAAAAAAAAAAAAAAAAAAAAGAATCTCACGTAATCATTACTATACGCAAGGATCAAGCAAGCACTGTTGATGAACACTACCACTTTGGCTTCAGAAAAGATAATTTTATAAAAATTCTAGTTGGCACAATACTAACTATAGAGTGGCTAAAGAACAATGTACTTTGTACAGAATTATCATGCTTGCTGTGTTTTTGCTAAAAAAGTATTCCAGGACAGTTAAAAGCAGAAAGAGCTCATAAAATTTTATCTACAAACCTTAGATCAGTCTCAGTAATGGTATCACCCAGACCACCAACATACAGTGTGGTGATAGTCTTGTCCTCTGGTGGGTCCAGACGAGGCATTGTTGAAGCCCGCTTTAGAAGCTTATCTGCCACAGGGTCATTGATACCATAATATCGGTCTTTAATGTTCTGATCAGCAAGGGGGTCATCTGGATCTGTTGGCTTCTCATGTCTATGGTTCAGGAAAGAACAGCACATAAAGGTGAAACAAAGGAAAAGAATTTACAGGTATCACCCAACAGTAGCTACATACACATACCCGGAAATGCCTTCTGAACTAGAAACCATGGCCATACCAAAACATAAGTATCAAGACAGAGCTAATACCAAAGGATTTACTGTATCACACAAAGACTTGCCAGCCTCCTAAAAGCCATTTAAATGGCCGTCTAAGCACATGAAAAAGTGCTCAATATCGCTCGGCATCAGGGAAATCCAAATCAAAACCTCAATGAGATACCACCTCACACCAGTCAGAATGGCTAAAATTAACAAGTCAGGAAACGACAGATGTTGGCGGGGATGCGGAGAAAGGGGAACCCTCCTACACTGTTGGTGGGAATGCAAGCTGGTGCAGCCACTCTGGAAAACTGTATGGAGGTTCCTCAAAAAGTTGAAAATAGAGCTACCATATGATCCAGCAATTGCACTACTGGGTATTTACCCCAAAGATACAAAAGTAGGGATCCGAAGGGGTACGTGCACCCCGATGTTTATAGCAGCAATGTCCACAATAGCCAAACTGTGGAAAGAGCCAAGATGTCCATCGACAGATGAATGGATAAAGAAGATGTGGTGTATATATACAATGGAATATTATGCAGCCATCAAAAGGAATGAGATCTTGCCATTTGCAACGACGTGGATGGAACTGGAGGGTATTATGTTGAGTGAAATAAGTCAAATAGAGAAAGACATGTATCATATGATCTCACTGATATGAGGAATTCTTAATTGTAGGAAACAAACTGAGGGTTGCTGGAGTGGGGGGTGGGGTGGGAGGGATGGGGTGACTGGGTGATAGACACTGGGGAGGGTATGTGCTCTGGTAAGCGCTGTGAATTGTGCAAGACTGTTGAATCTCAGATCTGTACCTCTGAAACAAATAATGCAATATATGTTAAGAAAAAAAAAGAAGAAGAAGGTAGCGGGAGGGGAAGAATGAAGCGGGGGAAATCGGAGGGGTAGACGAACCATGAGAGACGATGGACTCTGAAAAACAAACAGGGTTCTAGAGGGGAGGGGGGTGGGAGGATGGGTTAGCCTGGTGGTGGGTATTGAGGAGGGCACATTCTGCATGGAGCACTGGGTGTTATGCACAAACAATGAATCATGGAACACTTCATCTAAAATTAATGATGTAGGGCGCCTGGGTGGCTCAGACGGTTAAGCGTCTGCCTTCGGCTCAGGTCATGATCCCAGGGTCCTGGGATTGAGTCCCGCATCGGGCTCTCTGCTCCTTGGGAGCCTGCTTCTCCCTCTGCCTCTCTCTCTCTCTCTGTCTCTCATGAATAAATAAATAAAAATAAAATCTTTAAAAAAAAATAAAATAAAATAAAATTAATGATGTAATGTATGGGGATTAACATAAGAAAAATAAATAAATAAATAAATAAATAAATAAATAAATAAATAAATAAAATCTTAAAAAAAAAGAAAAAAAAGAAAAGAAAATAAATGGCCGTCTAAGGTAACAGGGTTTTTTTAATCAAGAAATGCTTTTGGCACAATCCACTCCAAAACAAGAAGTAACCAAAACATGGTTCCCCTTCTCTCGGTCAATGGTTCTTAATGTATCTGAGGTCTTGCATGCCACTGAGAGTCTCATTAAAGCTAATGGACCAGCCCCAGAAAAAAGGATAGATAATTTTTTTTTTGTGGGTGTGGGGTTAACCAACCCCAAGTCAGGAACTCCTAGTCCAGGGGCGCCTGGGTGGCGCAGTTGCTAAGCGTCTGCCTTCGGCTCAGGTCATGATCCCAGGGTCCTGGGATCGAGCCCCGCATTGGGCTCCCTGCTCCGCGGGAAGCCTGCTACTCCCTCTCCCACTCCCCCTGCCTGTGTTCCTGCTCTCGCTATCTCTCTATGTCAAATAAATAAGTAAAATCTTAAAAAAAAAAAAAAAAAAAAAAAAACCAACTCCTAGTCCAGATGCTCGGCAGTCTTGACTGAAACATACTCACACACCCTTTAGAGGCCTGGCCTTCACTGGACTTCAACCATACATTGAGATTCAAGCTAGTTATACCATGACAGTGATGACTTACCTTTAGAGTCAACATCTGCATTATATGGCATAACAACTTAGTTTCCCAAGGCCTGGTTATGAGTAAAAGTCCCATTACAAATAAAAACAACAATTTCAACAAGCTCTTCTAAATGTAATAGCCCTAAGACATGACATCTATCATACTAGTTGTATAAACTTGTAGATTTTAAATCAGAAATAGTTTAAACTAGCACCTCCCATTTCTTAAATGACTAATTATCTGAAAGCCGATAATGAAAGTGCCAATTCAGTTCTTGCCTGTATGGACACTCCTCTCCTCTCTTACATTCTCCTTTTACCCAGAAGGAGCAAATGTGGGGTCGATTCCTCTTATAGTAGGGTGTGGTCCGGGCTAGCTTGAGCAACATGTCACTGGTGGAGGTGGCTTTCCCCAACATGCCAACCGGCCGCGTTCCATCAGAGTTAGAAATCTATAGAGGGATGACACATTCCAAAGATAAATTGTATAGACCCTGTGTCAAACCACTAGGATTCTACCAAATATAAAATTACATCAAGAAAGTGGCAGCATACTTCTCTCTCCATATTCTGTGTGTAGTACTCTTTGTTGACATCTGACTTTGGCATGTCATCCTTAAAAGACAATCCTGCATCACGAACCTGGATGGGCAGCCCTGGTACAAAGGAAAAGAGGAAAAAACCTCAAGATATATTTTAAAACAAATCCATACCAAACCTGCACATGGAATACAACATCATTATTCCCTTCTCCAGCTTCCTAGGTATTGGAGGCTTTATTTTTATTCAAAATCTTTATTACCATCAGGCCAAAACTACCACAGAGTATCCTATGAAACTGTCCAAATTCCTGACCTGTCATGAAAGTTGAAATCAATGTTTTAGAACATATTTTAGATGAACGACGTTTGGTTACAGTCAAACTTGACCTGTAATTAATAAATAATAGCTTAAATAATAAATAATAGCTTTTACTAGAACAGCATTTATTTAAATAAGTGTAAAAAGTGGGTTTTTTTTTTTTAAGTACGTATGTATGTTATTTATTTATTTGACAGAGAGAGAGAGAGCACGCACGCACGCACGTGCACAAGCAGGCAGAAGGAGAGGGAGAAGCAGGCTCCCAACTGAGCAGGGAGCCAGATGTGGAGCTCGATCCCAGGACCCCAGGATCATGACCTGAGCCAAAGGCAGACACTTAACTGACTGAGCCACCCAGATGCCCCAAAAGTGAGTTATTTTTTAAGCCTGTCTTATAGATCCTCTGGATAGTCACAAGCATGTAAGGATCACAGTATTCTAGAACCAGAACACTTCTTTTAACAAATATATAAATAATATTAAACAATATGTGACCAGGACTTCGATTAGCAGCTATCTTTCTGAACTTAACATATATATAAACTTATATTTTCCCTTTTATTGTATAGTAGAAATTCTTGTTGAAAAATTATTTTTCTCATTAACAAAAAGTCACTTTTAGTTAAAAAAAAAAAAAATCACTCTCAAAAGCAGTTACCCTTAAAATCGTAGCAGTTACAGTACACCAGTCCTAAAAACACAGTTGAGACAAAAATCTAAAATATAATTAGCCAATGCTTCTGGTAGGGATTGTGGGAAAGAGCTCTGAATCTTGAAAGAAGCCCAAGGCAAAGCAATTACCTATCATAGGAACGATGTCTTTCCCTCACTTTGGCTATAGGGATGTAAATGAGAGAGATTTGGGCTAGTTCTGATTAATCCCCAACTTTTCGTTAAGTTCTTCCTGTTACTCAGAAGAGCTCTAGAATGGCCTAGTATGATTCTCCTCTTCTAGGAAAAGTAGAGCACAGTAGGCCCTCCAAAGTGGGGTCAGAACCAGAGATAGGGTGAGAAATGGGAAAGAAAAAGATTGGTTTGTTGTCTAGGGCACGGGCACCTACATGCTTTCAGACACGTTAGACAGGGCAAACATACCGTACTCCAGGTCCAAGAGGCAGGTCTGACAGACATTCTTCAATTTACTGCAGGTTTGGCACACTTCAGTTTTCTTGAAACGCATGCGGACCCCGGGGCACCAACGAAACACCGTGAATGGTCTGGCACAGATCTGGGAAAACAAAATAAGAGCCAAAGAGTGTTAATAGTTCTGATCTGGACAATTAAGGCCAGGAGATTTAATAACAATGGGAGATTGAAAGAAAAGATCCTTGAATCTAGGGTTTAAAAGAGACCTTAGCAATTATGTAGTCTAAATACCATCTGATGTTTCAATCCCATTTATAACACCCTTCTCCAGGAGTTAAAAAATTCACATAGTACAGAAATGAAATATTAAAGAGTCGAAGTCCTCCCCACACTAGAGATAACCACCACCAATAATATGACCATTAATCTTTTTGAGGGGGCAATGGGGAGTGCCATATACTCCTTTAAGAATCTTATGCCAGGGGCGCCTGGGTGGCTCAGATGGTTAAGCGTCTGCCTTCGGCTCAGGTCATGATCCCAGGGTCCTGGGATAGAGCCCCACATCGGGCTCCTGGCTCAGCCGGGAGTCTGCTTCTCCCTCTCCCTCTGCCTCTCCCACTGCTCATGCTCTCTCTCTCTGTATCTCTGTGTCTCAAATGAATAAATAAAATCTTAAAAAAAAGAATCTTATGCCAGCTATGACCTTCCTCCTCTGCTAAAATCCTTATGTGCATTGTCAGACAACACTCAGTATATCCTCTCAGAGGGTTCAAAGCCCATCCACAGACACCAGGTTAAGAACCTTTACATTAAAGGGCTCACTTTCTTACCTCTCACACTGAACAGTTAACAGTCAATGAGTATATAAATGATATATGAAAGTCTGTGTAGCACTGACTTTTATTGGAGAACCTCAAAGCCCAGCAAGTTGAAAAGAAAAGAAAAATAAAATTAAATCATTATTCTTTAACAGACATACTTACTTTACATTCCTTCCCATACTTTTCTTTGGTCTGAAACAGAAAAAATAGAAAAGAGCAAGTTACAGAAAAACAAAAACTAGGTGTCTGCTCCTTCCATAAAGACAACCCAAGAAATGTGTCTGTAGATCCCCGGCATCCCAATAAGGTGGTGGTGATGGATCACTATTGGAGGTGCGAGAGAGGAGATATAGTCTACCAGCTACTATGAATCATAACCTCTTAAGAATCTTATGGCTCTAAGTTAATATGTATCTTTCCATTGCCACAATTCTTAGGCTCACTTCTGGCTCCCAAGTTCTCTCCCTAGGAATTAAAATTCCTAACAGTTTCCACAGTCCTCAAATCACGGAGGACATAGCTCTGGCCAGCCCATTTTACAAAAGTTAGTCAGGGGTAACTACTATAGACCCATCTTGTCAGATACTCTATATAGAGTCAATCAAGATCTCCGAGATCGATCACAACATAGCCCTATTCTAATTATTAAATGTTAATTACTGATTATTTTACCCTCATTTATAAGGATGGGGTTACCTTACACTAAAGAGACTAGAGGTGCAGTGGCCAAAAGGCATTTGATTAGGAGTCAGGACACTTAATCTAGTCCTGGTTCTCCTCCTACCTTGCTAAGGTTCCTGGAGTCAGCATATCTGAATTTAAATCCAAGCTCCACTCCTTACTTGCCATATTGAAAAGACCTAACTGTCTCTGCCTCTGGTTAACAGACCTGACTGTTAGATAAATAAATGCTCAACAAATATTAGCTGTTATATTAGGACTCCTACATCGCAGGACTGCTGCTGAGTTCCAAAGACAGAATAAGCATGACAGTCCTTTGCAAATCGTCCTATGCTTTGGGTTAGTAAAGGAGCATCAATACTTTGGCTTGGCTAAGAGAAGCAATTCACGGACAGCGTGCAAATACCACAACAATGACAGAACCTGAATAAACTCCCTTTTCACACGCGATCACTCACCATTCGGATATATGGGTTTTCTCCAAGACACGTCTGGCACAGAATGGGGAAGTCCTGGTGAAAATGGGAAATCTGGTTGAGAGCCAGGCTCCGAAGACCCTGCCATCTCTGCCACGCTCTTGGGGACGGGGGGGTGGGGGGGGGACAGGGTAGGGCAGGAACCCGACGTCCAGCACGGGCCGGGTCGCGTGAGGGGGCGCTGTCTGCACTTCCGGCAGGTGGCGGGAGGAAAGACCAGCTCGAAGTGAGTGGAGAGGGCAGGGGTGGGAAGCGGGCTGGTCCGGGACCCTGGCTAAGCCCCCTCCCTCCAAGCCCGGAGGAGGAGGGCCGCCCTCCAGCCTCCCGCTCTGGCGGAGCTAGGCCGCAGCGCCGGCTCCTGCCCGGAATTCCCTCGGCCGCTCCACAACCACGGCCCTGCCTGCCCGAAGGAGGCCCGTCTCCGCCGCCTCTCTCTGTCCTCCTCCGGCAGGCATACTCACCGCATCCTCCCAGTTCTGCCTGTTGTAGGTGTTGGAACCCAGAGAGGTCGCCATCTTGAGAGCGTCTGGAGGCACCGGTGGCTTCCGAGTTGGGAAAGAGGACCGCCACAATCCCGTCAGACCCCGAGGCTGGCTCCCCGCCCGTTGACGTCTTATTTATGCGTCGTGGGCGCCCTTGGGGGCGGTCCTTGTGCGTCGTGACGTCACCTGGAATTTCTTCGCTTGACAATTGGGAGTTAGTGGGTTGAAACCTGGTTCTCTCTTCGAGTTGGTCCCTGTTTGGGAAGAAAAGCCACAAGTACAGTTGATTTATTTTAAAATGGAGCAAAAAAATAAAGGAACAAGTAAGGAATGAGGGACTGGGATTAAAACAGCGTTTGCCCCCATGGAGCGCTTATTATGCCTAATGGTGAGCGAACGTCTTGCTGTGCCAGTATCTTAATTCTCACAATTTCTCTGTAAGGTTGCCAGCTTTAGCAAACAAAAACGCAGAACGTCTAGTTAAAGTTGAAGTTCAGATAAACAACAAACCATATTTTAGTATAAATATGTCCCAAACATATTTATACTAAAAAGTGACTCGTTTATTTGAAAGTCGAATTTAGCTGGATGTCCTATATTTTATCTGGTAACCACTACCCTCTAGGCAAGTATGATTGTCCCTTTTTTTTAACAGAAAAGGAAACAAGTTTAGAGAAATTAAGTAACTTCTTGTCGTGTAGCTAAAAATGAAGTCACAAATCCATATTGTTACATGTATCAGTAATTTGTTCCTTTCTATTACTGAGAATTCTAATGTACCAAGGGGATTTAAAAAAATCCATATTCCCAGTTGATAGACATTTGAGTTGTTCCAGATTTCGTGACTATAAATAAAGCCATTATAACATTCACATACATGTTGTATGGACATACGTTTTCATTTTAAATACAAGAGTGGGATTACTTGATCAAATGGTAAGTATTTATTTTCCTGGATGAGAAAGTTATTGGATTTATCTGAGCTTCTTCAATCTATGGTTTGTTACGTTTTTGAAAAAGATTTTATTTTTTCTTAGTGGCGGGGAGGAGTAGAGGGAGAGAGAATCTTAAGCAAGCTCCATGCCCAGCGCAGAGCTGGACGCAGGGCTCGATCTTACAGCCCTGCGATCAAGACCTGAGTTGAAGTCAAGAGTCAGACGCTTAACCAACTGAGCCACCCAGGCACCCCTTCTTTATTTTTTATTTTTAAGTAAACTTTATGCCCAGCCTGGGGCTCGAAACTGGAACCCCAAGATTGAGTCACATGCTCTACTGACTGAACCAGCCAGGTGCCCCTATGGTCTGTTATCTTTTGCAAATTCTTTTTTTTTTTTTTTATAGTTTTAAAAATTTTTATTTAAGTAATCTCTACACCCTACATGGGGCTCAAACTCACGACCCCGAGATCAAGTTGCATGCTCTTCTGACTGAGCCAGCCAGGTACCCGTTTTGCAAACTCTTAGACATCATTTCTTTAAATATTCTTCTGCCTAATTTCTTCTCCATCTGGGACTCCAATTATACATGTCAGTCATTGTTCCATAGATCTTGAATACTGTGTGGTTCCACTCTTTTTCCTCAGCTATGATGAGTCTACTGATGAGACCATAGAGGATATTCTTCATTTCTGATCCTGTGTTTTTTATTTCAATTTGTCCCTTTCTTATAGTTTCTGCCTCTCTGCTGAAATGTTCATACATATTATCCGTATTTTTTACTAGATTTTTCAACATGTTAATCAGAGTTTAAGTCCCCATCTGATAGTTCCAACATCTGGGGCATATCTGTATATGGTCTTACTTTGCCTATGAAAAATGAGTTGTTTTTTCTTGCTTCTTTGTGTAACTCAAATTTTTTATTTAATACCAGTCATTGCTATGTAACAGTAGACTGAAGTAGACAAGTATTAATGCTTGGAAATGGGCAGATCTGTTCAGTCAGGCTATTTGTGTGGGATTTGGTCAGTCCAGTCAGAAACTGAGCTGGGTTTGAGTTTTGTTGTTGCTATGGTTGCCTTCAGTGCATTACAGATTTTATATCCTCTAGCATTACTTTGTGCTTTAGGATGGGGCTGAAGAACTTTTCTCAAGCGTTCATATTTCATCCTTAGCTTTCAGCTGTCCTGCACACCTGAACCATAGTGGTAAGTCTCTATGGTCTTGCCTATCCCCCAGCAGCTGTTATTTGTTATTAGTTATTAGCTCCTTGCTAGGTTGGTAGTTGGGAATGGGTTGGGGGTTCTTTGTTTCAGTTCAGCCTCAGTCTTCAGTAGGTCCTTTGTGGCCAGGCCTTGGGAATGGATTTTTCTCAACATTCTTGCCCCTCCTGTCTGTGGCAGCCAAACCATGACTTGTGTTCATAGCCGGCCTTGTGGGGGAGAGTTTCCTGTCCTTCCCATAGTGGTAGAACTTTAATGGTATTGATTGGTATGGAATCCTGGGGCTCAGGACTGAGTCTTGTCCCCCACCCCCAAGAGTAGAGGTTTTTTCTTACCAGGTCCCAGCAGCAATGGGTCTTTACCTGTGCCCTGGGGAGACATGATTTTCTGTTGTTCCCTGAGTGGCTTAGGCCTTTTTTACTCCTTATGAGGGAAGAGCCTGGACAGGAGGAGGCAAGCTCTCCTGCCTTTCCCACAGTAGCAGCAGATCTCTCCCGCATGCCTCCAAACCAAGGAAGCTCTGTAGAGCTCCAGCATCCTCCTCTCCCTGCAGGTCTTTCTCATGAATACCTGGTGGAAGTTTTAGAAAGGGCTTGTGAGTGCATGCAAACTCCCTTAGTGTCTTAGGCTCCCAGGGATTTTATACTGTCTTGTTAGCCCAAGTTTGGCCTTTTTAACAGTTAAGATTTTCATTGATTTTCTCTTACCTGTCATATGATGGTCAACACTTCTTCCTCTCATGCTGTGCTACAGGTGAGTCAGTCTACAAGTCTGATCTCTCCTTGGAAGGGTCTGTCCCTCCTTGAAATTCAGGCTATTTGGCTGCTTTGCCACATCAGCTCTCTGACAGATACCATAAAAGTTATGATTTTATCATCTATCCACCTTTTCTTTTTGAGCAGGGAGTGAGTGACACTCTTTCCAGATATCTACATCATTGGCAGAAGTGAACTCCTGAGTGACCTCATTTTGAAATACAGTTTAAGAGGAACACTTTTATCACTTCTGTAAATGGAAAATTAATATCACATATTTAGATGTAGCCTTAAAAACAAGTACAGTAAAAATGAAACAGTATTTTTTAATAATCAGCTACCGTTGTCTGCCAAAGGCTCTGAACTGGATGCCTAGGTTTTAAAAAAAAGAGGAAGTGTTAGATGTTACAAATGTTGAGTATTGATACTTTTTCCTTAACAGAAAGATAGGGCTATAAAGCATGAGGAAACTATTTCCCCTGGCTGATTCCATGTTATTTAATGTTACTTTCATTTAATACTTGAAGTCATCTTGTGTAGATGCCTCACACTGTGAAATATATTTCAATATATATGTCCCTGATCACCAGAAAATGAGGATAAACAAAGTTAAGTATTGCCACTGAGCAAGAGACTCAGCTCTGAGTTTTGTCTAGGCTGCTCTTTCAGTGGAATAAAGGGGAGACAGATGACAAAGGGTCCTGAATTTGTCTCTGAAAGAGTCTGCAATCCAGTAACTGGGCTACATGCATACAAAACCCCATAAAGAAAGAGGTAAATGCCCTGGAGAGATACAGTGCTGTGGCTCAAGGTCATGTCTAGATGGAAGTAAGGGAGATGGGAAGGGAGAGCAGGGAAGTAATTCTGGAGGAGGTGCAGAAGGAAGGAGTATTCTAGGTAGAGAAAACACCAGAACAAGAAAGCTCAAGGCAAGTGAGATATTTGGCTTATGACAAAAAAGAGGCTTATGTATATTAAAAAAAAAAAAAAAAAAAAGGCACCTGGGGTGGCTCAGTTGGTTAAGCGTCTGCCTTTGGCTCAGGTCATGATCCCAGGGTCCCAGGATCGAGCCCTGCACTGGGCTCCCTGCTCAGAGGGGAGTCTGCTTCTCCCTCTGCCCCTCACCCCACTTGTGCTCTCTTCTCTCAAATAAATCTTTTTTAAAAATAAAGCTAAAAGATCAACAGCTACATACATAAGGGAAAGGGTGACATTAACTTATTTAACAAATATCGGGTGCCTACTATCTGTCAGGTATTCTAGCCTCTGCAGATAACAGCAACTTAAAAAAAAAAAAAAAGGCAAAATCCCTGCACTATAAGGCTTATATTCTAGTGTGATGTGTCAGAAAATAAAGTATATATTATACTGGTGTTTAGTGCTATGGAAAAAAAAGAACATAGCCAAGGAGGATAGAGAATTGCTTAAGGGAGGGCAGGTTTTTTTTTTTTTTAAGATTTGGAGAGAGACACACACAGAGATAGCGAGAAAGAGCATGAGCACAGAGGAGAGGGAGAAGCAGACTCCCGACTCCCGCTGAGCAGGGAGGAGAGGGCAGTTTTAACACTCCTATACAGGGTGGTCAGGGAAAGCCTCACTAAGAAGGAAATATTTGAGCAAAGGCCTGAGTGTGACGACGGTGTGCGTTATACAGGTATCTGGGAGTTTTCTAAGCAGATGGAACAGCTAGTGCAAAGGCCCCGAGAAGACGCCTGCCGGGGTAACTAAAGAATAGCAGACTCGTGTAGCCGCAGTGGATGGAGCATGGGGAAGTGATAGATGAATTCAGGGAAGCAGCAGCAGGGGGTGGGTTTCATATCACGTAGGACCTCGTTAGTCATTGTAAGGAGTTCGTATTTGGCTTTGCTCTTGAGCAAGCTAAAAAGCCTAGGAGTCTGAAGTGGGAAAATGCCTTATTCATTCTGGCTGCTGTGTTGAACGTTGACTCAAGGGTGGGGTGAGGGCCAGGGTGCTTTCCAGACCAGTTTGGATGCTACTGCAATAACCTCGGGGTCTACAGAGTCTATAGTGATTTGGCCCAGGATAGTAATGGTAGAGAGGGTGTGAGGTGGTCACAGTTTGAAGACAGAGCGGATAGGATTTGCTGACTTACTGCACGGGGCATGTAAAGAGTCAAGGTTGATGCCAAGGTTTTTGTTGTGAGCAACTGAAAGGATACAGTTGTCATTTAGCTAAGGATGAATGCAGGAGAGGCAGATGTGGTGAGAGAAAGCCCACTGTGGTTTTAAACTTTCAGAGACTATTCTAGAGTTGGTATGTAAATTTATTTGAGAGAGTGTGCACTCGGGGGA